ACTCATATTTGGCTCAGAATAAATCTCTTAAAATATAGAGTTCGACTCTTTCATCAACAGTTTCATAAAAAGGAACACTCAGAGATTAAAGAAGAGCTCCTAGAAGTTAAAAAAAAAAAAGTGAGCAATGATTTCATAAATTTCTACAGATCTATTAGAAGATAGATAGTCTCCTGAAAGTATAACAAAAATATAGTTGAGACAAGTGCCTCAGTGCGGAAGTACTCCTTAATATCACCTTACCTGTTAGGATGACTACTATCAAAAAGACAAAAGATGAGTGTTTATGAGGATATGGAGAAGGCAGAACCCTTGTATGCTGGGTGGGAATACAAAATTATGCAGCCACTATGCCAAAACAGGATGGAGATTCCTCAAAAAAAAAAATAGAGCTACCATATAATATAGCAATTTTGCTTTTGAGTATTTATACAAAATAATTGAAATCAAGATAAAAGTGATGCTTGCCCCCCCATGTTCATTGCAGCATTATTCATGGAAACAACTTAAATATCCATCAACAGATAAATTGTTAAAGAAAATGTGGTATAGACATACAATGGAATATTATTCAGCCTTAAAAAAAAACAAAAAAAACAAAAAGGAAACCCTGCCATGTGTAACAACAGATGAGCCTTGAAGACATTATAGTAAGTGAAGTAAGCCAGTCACAGAAAGACAACTACTACATTCCACTTTTGTGAGGTATCTAAAATAGACAAACTCAGAATCAGTGAGTAGAATGGTGATTGCCAGAGAATGAGGGAAGGGAAAATGGGGAGTTGCTATTCAATAGGTATGAAGTTTTAGTTACGGAAGATGAGTAAGTTCTAGAGCTCTGCTGTACAAAATTGTGTCTGTAGCTAACAACACTGTGTTGTATACTTAAATATTTAAGAGTAGATCTCATGTTAGTGTTCTTACCACAATAAAAAATCAAACTCTTAACAATACAGGAAAAAAGAGGGATTCAATAAATGAAATCAACCAATCAATAAAAATAATACGATAAATTTAAAAAAAAACTTTACTAAACAAAAATCAATCGCTACAACTTCTTAAAAAATTTTATTGAACTTAGAAAACTACATATTTAATCCAAAAACATGGCCACTTTTTGTTTTTTTTGTTTAACAGATTTTTAGCATGGTGTTACATATGCCTGAGTTACATACAGTTTTGGTAACTAAGATTTCCCTCCCAGTACATTGCCAAATTGATCTCTGTTTCTTCCTCTTCTGAGTAATGCTTAAGAAATATAACTGAGATTCCAAATAAAGCAACATTTCTGTGGCTATTTTGTTGGCTTGCTTTCAGAGTAGTATATGGAGAAAGCATATGGCTTAAATCAGTGTTTTAATGTCATCTTTAAACATCAAGTTCTCTTTTCAAATCTCTTTTCTCTTAAGTTTTTTTCCTAAGTCTTGAGCCTTTTTTTTATTTGAATATTGTAGAGATGTAGAACTAATGCCTTAGTTCTTCTGGGAATTAATAGTCTTTCAGAACTATATACCAAATTCTCACTTGGGGCGTACCTTTTAGTAATTGTGAATTTGTTTTCTATGCTGTCTTCCTCTGAGCCCTCCAAACTGTTCCAACCTCTGCCTCTTACCCAGTTCCAAAGTCACTTCTACGTTTTTGCACATCTTTACAGCAGCACCCCTCTCCCAGTACCAATTTGCTGGCAGAAGGTAGAAGGTGAAAAGCATGTCTTAGATGGCAGCAGACAAGGACAGTGAGAACCAAGCAAAAGGGTTTCCCCTAATAAAACCATCAGATCTCATGAGACTTGTTCACTACCACAAGAACAGTATGGGGGAAACCACCCCCATGATTCAATTATTTCCCACCAGGTCCCTCCTGCAACACATGGGAATTATGGGAGCTACAATTTAAGATGAGATTTGGGTGGGGAAACAGCCAAACCATATCAGCTCCTATGCCAAATAGCATATTATTAGTAGAGAAAATAAATCTGAAAAGATAAAATGTAAAGAGGTGAACAATACAAGAAGTTACTATGAGAAATGCCCTATACTAATACATGTAATAAGGTAAGTATAGGTTGAGTATCCTTTATCCAAATTCCTTGAGACCAGAAGTATTTTGGATTTGGGTTTTGTTTTTTTTTTCCAGATTTTGGAATATTTGCATTATGCCAGTTATGCATACCAAATCCAAAAATCAGAAATGCTCTAATGAGCATCTCCTTTAAGCATCATGTTGGCACTTAAAAAGTTTAGCTGGCCAGGCACAGTGGCTCATGCCTGTAATCCCAGCACTCCGGGATGCTGAGGCAGGTGGATCACCTGAGGTCAGGAGTTTGAGACCAGCTTGGCCAACATAAAGAAACCTCATCTCTACTAAAAATAGAAAAATTAGCCAGGCATGGTGACGTGCACCTGTAAGCTCAGCTACTCAGGAGGCTGAGGCAGGAGAATTGCTTGAACCTGGGAGGCAGAGGTTGCAATGAGCCGAGGTTGCAACATTGCACTTCAGCCTGGGCGACAGAGCAAGACTTCATCTCAAAAAAAAAAAAAAAAAGTTTCAGCTTTTGAAGGAATTGGGATTTCAGATTTGTGATGCCCACCTTGTAGTATGTAGAACAAGCAGTGGTTTTAGAATACAAAGAGAAGAGATATTCAGCTAGACTAATCTGCTCTGCAGAATTTTTAGGAATGTCTTAAAAGTTGCTTAAAGTCACTAATTTGGGAACAGAGGAGAGGACATCATCCTGGGTAAAGGAGAGAGCATGAATTTAATGGAAGAAAAACACAGAATGTACTTACAGGGTGTGATGTTGAGAGTTCTGGAGGACATCTGGTAATTTGAAGAAATGTTAAATGTTACACATAAAATACAGCTTAGTTAATATTCTTTCTGAAACTTCTTATGCATATGCAAACTGTATGAAACTATATACACAGGTGTGTGTACTCTTTATTTTGGATACAAATGGAATCAGTAGTGTGTTTATTTTACTTTTCAGTATATCATGGCCATCTTTGCATGTTTCTACAATAATAACACTTCAGATATTTCACTATTTGGAATATGATCACAGATTATTTCATCAAATGGATGAAAACATTTAAACAAAACTTTACAAAAGACCCAGAAATACTAAAAGGGAAATGAATAGGAATACTAACATGCAGTTAGATAATCTGGTTTATAAAGTATCTTTACTTTCCCAGGAAGCCACACTACCTTGTTTCTGAGTTATCTCAGTAGAGCTAGAAGGGCCAACTTTTGCCTAACTTTTTGGAGAAATTTCAGGCACACCCAGATTCTTCAAAACCCAGACCATCCATCCAAGTTCATTTTCCTGTTTGATGGCATCTTCCATAGATAACTCATATCAGAATGCTTATCCCCTCCCACAGGAGTGTGACCTTTCTTACTCCTTGGTTTCTATAAGACAATTATAGTGGAATATCATGCAGTGACCTCAGTGCAGGAGACAAGCTTGTACAGAGGGAAAGGAGGAACTCTTTCCATTCCCTAAGATTGATCTCGTAGATCACTAAGGTTCGATTTGGCCCTGTAGTTCTGTTAGTTTATGAGTACAGTCATCCCTTGGTATCTGTGAAAGTTAAGTTCCAGGACCTCCCTCAGATACCAAAATCCAAGGATGTTCATGCCTCTGATACAAAATGGTATAGTATATGCATATAACCTATGCATTTCCTTGGTGTACTTTAAATCATCCCTAGATTACTTATAATACCTAATACTATGTAAATGCTATATAAATAGCTATACTTTATTATTTAGGGAATAATAATGGGAAAAAATCTGTACATATTCAGTACAGATACAGTTATTTTCCTGATTGTTTTCTGTCTGTGGTTGGTTGAATCCACGGATGCAGAACTCACAGATACAGGAGGGCTAGCTATACTTGCAGGGCTGTCATGTGAGTAAAAGCTGTGATTCGTTCTGTGCAGAACTAAGACCATGATTGGAAGATGTAAAAAGATAGATGTTTACAATTTTTAAAACTTCATAAAAAACTTCATAGCAGTATAACAAAGAGGTGATCTAACATACTAATTCTTAAAGGTGACTTCCAAACTTTTCATGCTGCCCCAAATCTCTCTCCAGAATTGATACTGGTTAGGTAGAATTGACTAGAGGAAAGACTATCTTTAAACTGACTGGAAGAAAGACTATTTTAAGATGGTTTTAAATTTTATTTTTCCCTTGTAGCCTAACATGATCCACCGAAGTAATACCTTGCTAGCTGGTTTTGCGTAGGGTAATTATTTTTCAGAATAAGCTGCAAGGAATAAGGAAGAGTTGAACTGAAGAGAACGCTCTCTCTGTTATTTGATACTTAAATTTATATGGCTTCTTAAATAAAAGTAACCTAAATTGATTTGAATTTAAAGTACTGGCAATTTGGACTTACCATGGACCTCAGCATTTAAATATGTTAGTTAAAGTCTAATTCCAAATATTAAGTTATAAATTTAAAAAGAATGTGATTTTTTTTTAACGAAAAATAAGGCTGAGCACAGTGGCTCATGCTTGTAATCCCAGTACTTTGCAAAGTGAGGCAGGAGGATCACTTGAACCCAGATACTCAAGACCAGCCTGGGTAACATGGCAAAACCCCATCTCTACAAAAAATAAAAAATTAGCCAGGCATTGGGGAATGTGCCTACAGTCCCAGCTACTCAGGAGACAGAGGTGGGAAATCACTTGAGCCTGGGAGGTTGAAGCTGCAGTGAGCTGTGATCACAACAGTTTACTCCAGCTTGGCTGACAGAGTGAGACTGTCTCTCAAAAAAAAAAAACTGAGCATATTTATTTTGTTTATAAAAAGTAACAACTTAGCATCAAGTATGTGTCACGGAGAGGTCTGAGAAGTGCAGTTATAAATCCTACCCTTGAAGGAAGTAAGGTGATGAAATAAAAGTGTGAGGTTTTTCCTCACAGGTTTTAAGTATGACATTTTCAAACAGTGACTTTTTTTTTAAATTTTTATTTTTTAGAAACTGCTGTGTTACAGAAAAGCATGTGACTTTCAGAATAATCCCGAATGATGATGAGTCCAGATGTGCCTCTACTGAACGATTACAAGCAGGACTTCTTTCTGAAGCGCTTTCCACAGACTGTTCTTGGAGGCCCTCGATTCAAATTAGGCTATTGTGCTCCTCCTTACATATATGTTAATCAAATTATTCTCTTTCTAATGCCATGGGTTTGGGGTGGAGTTGGAACACTTTTGTACCAGTTAGGCATCCTGAAAGATTATTATACAGCAGCACTTTCAGGTGGATTAATGCTTTTTACTGCATTTGTCATCCAGTTCACAAGTTTATATGCCAGAAGCAAATCAGCAACAATAGAAAGAATACTAACCACGGATATCTTAGCAGAGGAGGATGAACATGAATTTACAAGTTGTGCTGGTGCTGAGACTGTCAGATTTCTCATTCCTGGCAAGAAATATATACCCAATACAGTTTTTCATTCTGTTCTTGCTGGATTAGTATGTGGTCTTGGAACATGGTATCTGCTCCCAAATAGAATAACCTTGCTGTATGGCAGTATAGGAGGCACTACTCTACTATTCTTCTTTGGATGGATGACATTATGTATAGGAGAATATTCATTAATTGTAAACACAGCTACAGAGACTGCAACTTTTCAAACAGAGGATACTTATGAAATTACTCCTCTTATGAGACCTCTTTATATTTTTTTCTTTGTTTCTGTGGATCTGGCACACAGGTAAAAACCTACCAAATATTTTGTAACTTGCTTTGTTTTTAAGAATACAGCGTAAGAGAGCTTTCCTTTTAGTATTAAAAAAATGAATATCAATTAAAAATCATCAAACCATTGGGTGACAGGTTACTTTGATAATTCTTTTAGGATTGATTTCTATAAAACATATTAAAGCAATAGCTAAAACTTATTGAAGAGTTTTTTTTAAAAAACCTTCTTGAGATAAAGAAGGAACTTTTCAGTTTTATGTTTCACTTTAAATAAGGAGCTTTGGGTTGCCGAAACCTGTGTAAGGAGATGGAACTTTCCTGTGGGGAAAAAAGGAATAATTTAAAATTTATACATACAAATATTATATACAGATCAAGTGAATTGAAGACAAGTAGAAAATTTATTTCTAATTTTGTGATAGCAGCAATAGAAGCAGTACTGATTTTTTAAAACCAAGTTGTTACAGAAGAAAAGTAGAAAATAGTTGTTTTTTTTAACAAACATAATTGTTCACAAAATTGTTTGATAGTTTCTTTTACTTGCCTTTTCAGGTTTGACTTTTCTATCTCTGTTTCTGTAGATTGCAGCTTTCTTTTCCTAGGTTACTGTCCAGGTAGAAATGTTCAGACAGGTTATGGACTGAATATTTGTGTCTCTCCAGAATTTATATATTGTAGTCTTAAACCCTAATATGATGGTATTTGGAGATGAGACCTTTGGGAGGTAATTAGGTCATGAAGGCAGGTCCCTGCTATGAAGGGACTAATCCCCTTATGAGAAGAGGCACCAGAGAGCTTGATCTCTCCATCTCTGTGTCATGTAAGGACAAAACAATAAGGTGGCCACCTGCAAGCCAAAGAAGAGAGCTCTCACCATAGCCTGACTATACTGGCATCCTGATCTTGGACTCCCAGCCTTCAGAACTGTGAGAAAATAAATTTCTGTTGTTTAAGCTACTCAGCCTATGGTGTTTTGTTATGGCAGCCCACGCCAATTAAGATTTTGCTACTAAGAAGTGGGATGCCTTTGTAACAAATACCTAAAAATGTGGAAATGGCTTTATGTAATGGGTAGAGGCTGAAAGAGATTGTTTTGTTTGTTTCTTTGTTTTTTGTTTGTTTGTTTTAGATGGAGTCTCGCTCTGTCGCCCAGGTGAGAGTGCAGTGGCACAATCTTGGCTCACTGTAACCTCCACCTCCTGGCTTCAAGTGAATCTCCCCCCTGAGTCTCCTGAGTAGCTGGAATTACAGACATATACCACCATGCTCAGCTAATTTTAAATTATAAAATCTTAAACTCTGAAGAATTATTGATAGAATTTCAGCCAATATAGTAGTTTAGACATTTAGGGGAGAAATATTTTTGCTCTGGCCTCAGTTGTTCAGTTTTACAAATTCCTGTATTCAATTTTCTTGCTATTCAATGATGGCTTTTAATTACTTCCTCCTCCTTTGCACATTTGAATTCACATATTGTCTAAATGCTAAGCTTGTACACTACTGAGTAGGGGTAGTTGCTGATGTAGAAGGACAGTTGTCGCAATTTATATGTATTGATCATTTGTAAGTTGCGATTAAGACTTTTCTGTGTTGAGGGTGTGTGTGGGTTTTTTTATTTGTTTGTTTTGGAAGGTGGGGAGTGTGTTATTTTGTGTTTTGCTTTTCCTTAAAAGATTCTCTTCTATATATTTTGTGTGATTTAAATGTTCTTTTTTTATAGGTTTATGGTAAATATACCAGCTCTAGAACAAATGAACCAGATTTTACACATCCTATTTGTATTTTTACCCTTTCTGTGGGCACTTGGGACTCTGCCCCCTCCCGATGCACTTTTCTTATGGGCAATGGAGCAGGTTTTAGAGTTCGGTCTTGGAGGCTCATCTATGTCAACCCAACTACGGTATTCATTTTAAAATATTGATGTTATGTGTAACATATTCTTAAAGAACATTTTTCTTTTGAAGTAAATCTTTTTTCTTTTTTTCCTCTGCAGGTTATTAGTAATGTTCATCATGTCTGCTGGAACAGCTATAACATCATATTTCATTCCAAGCACTGTTGGTGTGGTTCTCTTCATGACTGGATTTGGTTTCCTGCTCAGTCTGAACTTAAGTGACATAGGTCACAAAATTGGAACCAAATCTAAGGATTTACCCAGCAGTCCAGGAAAACATTTTATATGGAAGGAATGCCTTTTCTACATCATTGTATTAGTCTTGGCTCTTTTAGAAACTAGTTTGCTTCATCACTTTGCTGGCTTCTCACAGATTTCCAAAAGCAGTTCCCAGGCTATTGTGAGCTATGGTTTGATGATATTACTTATAATACTGTGGATACTTAGGGAAATTCAAAGCCTGTATATCTTTGGAATTTTCCGAAATCCTTTTTATCCGAAGGATGTTCAAATAATGACTGTATTCTTAGAGAAGCAAACTAGGCTCATGAAGATTGGTATTGTGAGACGGATTTTGCTAACTTTAGGTAGGAAGATAAAGTCTGTTAACCTTGTGTTATAAATCACATCTAGCAAGTATTCAAAAATATTACTGAATTCCCATATTTGTGTAGTATTATACCACATACAGATGTTTGTTCTTTTATGTTTTGGTTTTTTGTTTGTTAGCTTTTTTAGTTCATTGCTTAAATGTGCTTATGAAAATGTATATTTGCCAAAATAAAATATGGTAGAAGGAGCTATTTTGTTTTAATTAAATTTCTCTCTTTTTGTTTTGGTTTGTTTTAGTATCACCTTTTGCTATGATAGCATTTCTTTCATTGGACAGTTCCTTACAAGGGCTCCACTCAGTGTCTGTCTCTATTGGATTCACAAGAGCTTTTAGAATGGTAATCCTAATATGTGTTTAATAGTATTTTCCTATTGCTAAGTTTTATTGTAATTTTGCTTAATAGTTTGCTTAGATTATCTAATTCTACCTGATAAAAGTGGATAATTTGTATACCGCAGGTATGGCAGAACACAGAAAATGCTTTAATAGAGACAGTTATTGTATCAACAGTACACTTGATCTCCAGTGCAGACATATGGTGGAACAGAAGCCTGGATACAGGAATCAGACTCTTACTGGTAAATGTATTTTTTAACAGCTTTAGTGAAATATATTTCACATACTATAATATTTATCCATTTAGTGGTGTATATTCAGTTTTGTAGTCTTCACCACAATCTAATTTTAGAACATTTTCAACATCCCAAAAAGAAACCTCAATTGTTATTCCCCATTTCCATCTCACCTACTGCCCACTCCAGTCCCAGCAGTCAGTAATCTACTTTCTGTCTTTATAGCTTTGTGTATTTTAGATATTTCACAGGAATGAAATTCTGCAGCATGTGATCTTTTGCATCTGGCTTTCACTTTTATGTTTTCAAGATTCATTCATGTAACAGCACGTATCAGTACAGTCATGCATTGCATAAGGACGCTTCATTCAATGACAGACCATATATACAACGGTGGTTTCATAAGATTATAATTGAGATGAAAATACCTGTGACCTAGTGGCATAGCCCTTGTAGCATAGCACATTACTCATGTGTTTGTGGTGATGTTGATATAAACAAACCTACTGGGCTGCCATTATATAAAAGTATAGCACATACAGTTGTGCACAGTATGTAATACTTGACAATAAGCAACTACTGGTTTATGTATTTACTGTGCTTCTTATTATTTTAGAGCATATTCCTACATATTAAAAAAATAAAAGCTGTAAAACAGCCTCAGGCAGGTCCTTCAGGAGGTATTCCAGAAGAAGACATTGTTATCATAGGAGATGACAGCTCCATGTATGTTATTGCACTTCAGGACCTTCCAGTAGAACAAGATGTGGAGGTGGAAGACAGTGATATTGATGATCTGACCCTCTGTATGCCTAGACTGATGTGTGTTTTTGTATCTTCATTTTTGACAAAGTTTTAAAAGTTAAAAATTTTTAAATAGAAAAAAGCTTATAGAATAGGGATACAAAGAAAAAATTTTGAACAGCTGTACAATGTGTTTTAAGCTAAGTGTCATTACAAAAGTGTCAAAAAGTAAAGAAAGTTTATAAAATAAAAAAGTTATAGTAAGCTAAGGTTAATTTATTATTGAAGAATGAAAAATATTTTGAAAATAAATTTAGAGTAACCTAAGGGTACTGTGTTTTTAAAATCTACAGTAGTGTATAGTAATGTCCTAGGACTTCACATTCATTCACCACTCACTAACCTTAGAGCAGCTTCTAGTCCTAAAAGCCCCATTCATAGTAAGTGCCCTATTCAAGTGCACCATTTTTTTATCTTTTATAATATATATTTTTACTGTGCAATTTCAATGTTTAGGTACAAAACTACTTACCATTGTATTACAGTTGCCTACAGTATTCAGTACTGTAACATTCAGTACAGGTTTGTAGGCTATGAGCAATAGGCTATACTATATATACCCTAGTGTGTAGTAGGTTATACCACCTAAGTCTGTGTATGTATGCTCTATGATACTCAATGATCAGTCTCATTATTTGTGAACATATGTTTTTGTTTATCTTGGGTATACATACCTAGGACTGGAATTTCTGGTTGTATAGGAACTCCATGTTTAATGCTTCAAGATACTACAAAACACATTTCTTAGAACACATCCTGTCTGATCAGTCGCTGTGGCTCATGCCTGTAATCCCAGCACTTTGGGAGGCCAAGGCAGGCGGATCAACTGAGGTTGGGGAAGTAAAGACCAGCCTGACCAACATAGAGAAACCCTGTCTCTAAAAATACAAAATTAGCTGGCCGTGGTGGTGCATGCCTGTAATTCTAGCAACTCAGGTGGCTGAGGCAGGAGAATCACTTGAACCTGGGAGGTGGAGGTTGTGGTGAGCTGAGATTGCACCATTGTACTCCAGCCCTGGGAACAAGAGCAAAACTCCATCTCAAAAATAAAAGAACACATCCTTGTCATTAAGCGATGCATGACTGTACTTTTTATTAACAAATAGGATTCCATTTTATAGATATAATACATTTGGTTAATACATTAGTTGATTTATCAGATGATGATTATTTAGGATGTTTCCACCTTTTGACTATTAAAAAGAATATTGCTGTGAACATCTGTGTACAAGTTTATTTGTGAACGTGTGTTTTCATTTATCTTGGGTACATGTACCTAGAACTGGAATTTCTGGTTGTATAGGAACTCCTTGTGTAGTGCTTCAGTGTACTGCAAAACTGTTTTCCAGAGGAACTGCACCATTTTACATTCCCATCAGCAATGTATGAGGATTCCAGTTTCTCCACATCCTCACCAGCACTTGTTACTATCTGACATTTTCATTATAGCCATACTAATAAGTGTGAACTGCCACCTTGTTATATTTGATTTGCATTTCTCTGATCAATATTTTATGTGTTCTTGGGTCATTTGTATATTTGTTTTGAGAAGTGTCTATTCCAATCCTTTGCCCATTTTAATTTGGGTTATTTATCTTTCTGTTGTTGAGCTGTGACAGATCTTTATGTATTCTAGATAAAAGTCTCTTGACAATGAACAATTTTTCTCCTATTTTCAACCTATTCTGTAGGTTATCTTTCACTTTCTGGATAGTATCATTTGAAGAACAAAAGTTTAATGAAGTTTAATATATGTTTCCTTTGTCACCTTTGTTTTTGGTGTCATATCTCACAAACACTGCCTACTCCAAGGTCATGAAAATTTACTTTGTTTTTGCTAAATCTTTTATAGTTTTAGCACTTACATAGAGTCTGATCTACTTTGAGTTAATTTTTGGATATGCTATGAGGTAGGGCTCCAAATTTATTCTTTGGTACATGAAAGTCCTGTTTCCCTACCACCATTTATTTAAATGATTCTTGTGCCCCCAGTGAATTTCTTTAGCACCCTTGTCAAAAATCAAATGACTGGAAAGTTAGAGTTTATTTCTGGACAACTCTGAGTTCTCTTTCATTCATCTATGTGTCTGTCTTCATGCCAGCATCACATTCGCTTACTTATAGTAGGTTATAGTAGGGTTTGAAGTTGAGATATGTGAGTCCTCCAACTTTGTCCTTCTTTTTCAAGATTGTTTTGACTCTGGGGACCCTTGCATTGCCATCATCTATTTGTATAGTTTGCCATCTTTAAAATATTCTTCCAATCCATGAACATGAGATGTCTTTCTATTTTTTTAGATCTTCTTTGATTTATTTCAACAATGTTTTGTAGTTTTCAGTGTATAAGTCTTAGACTTAAAATTTATTCGTAAGTATTTTATTCTTTTGGATGATATTATAGATGAAAGTCTTCTTAATTTCATATTTTGGCATATTATCAGAGTATGAAATACAGTTGATTTTAAAAATATTAATCCTATGTCCTGGAGTCTCACTGAACTCCCTTATTCTAATAGATTTTTAGTGGGTTCTTAGGATATTCCATGTATAAGATCAGGTCATCTGCAAATAAGACATAGTTTTACTTGTCTTCTGTCTAGGTTAAATGCTTTTCATTTCTTTTTCTTGCCTAATTGCAATGAAAGTAACTCCAGCATAATGTTGAACAGAAGGAATAGGAATGGACATCTTATGATATAAGCATTCCATCTTTCTCCATTAAGTATGATGTCAGTCTTCTACCATTGAATGTGGTATCAGCTAAGGATTTTTTCATGGATGCTTTTATCAGGTTGAAGAAGTTCCCTTCTATCACTAGGTAAATCAAGCTTGTCCAAACTGTGGCCCACCGGCCGCATGTGGCCCAAGATGACTTTGAATGTGGCCCAACACCAATTTATAAACTTTCTTAAAACATTATGAGGTAGGAGGTTCTTGTAATTTTTTTTTTTTTTTTTAGCTCATCAGCTATCATTAATGCTAATGTATTTTATATGTGACCCAAGACAATTCTTCTTCCAGTGTGGTCCAGGGAAGCCAAAAGATTGGGCACCTCTCAGATAATTTTTTTTTTTTATCATGAACGGTGTTGAATTTTGTCAAGTGCTTTTTCTGTGTCTGTTGAAATAGTCATTTGGTTTTAGTCCTTTATTAATGTGGTGTGATATGTTGATTGATTTTTGGTTGTTAAGCCAACCTTATATTCCTGGAATAAATCCCACTCAGCCGTAATGTGTACTCCTTTTTATATGTTGCAGAATTTGGTGGGCTACTATATTGTCTGTCATCTATATTTATAAAATTGTGTATTTATCTTGTTTTCTTTCCTTGTGTATCATTGCCTGGTTTAGGTATCAGGGTAGCACTGATCCTGTAAAATGAGTTAGGAAGTGTTCTATACTCTTCTATTTTCTGGTAGAAGTTGGTGAAGAATGGGTATTGATTATTTGTAAATGTTCTGTAGTATTCAATATGTATCTGAAATTGTTTTGTTACCGGTATGTAGTATTTTGTAGTATTGAAGCCACCTGAGCCTCAGCTTCTCTTTGTAGATAGCTTTAAAATTATTCAGTCTCTTTACTTTTTGTTGATTATTTGGATTTTTTATTTCTTCTTAAGCCAGTTTTAGTAATTTGTGTCTTTCTAGGAACTTGTCAATTTCTGCATTATCTAATGTGTGGCCTATAGTGGTCAACCTTAAAGCATAGTTGGTGCACTGTCAGTTTTCTTTAGTGTTACTGGTTTTTTTTGTTTGTTTGTTTTTTTAAGAAGGTCCAGACTTTAGAATGTAGTCTCATTTATTGTGAGATTGGAGAAAAATTAACAAAGAATCAAAGGATAAGACCTATTTCTTAAAAAATACTGGGGCAGAATAAAATTACTGTATAGTCTTTCTTATGTGATCTTGAAAATTCATGAAAAGTCTTTAAGGATAAATAAAAATAATTTTTACATTTCTGCAGGTTGGTATCATACGTGATCGTTTGATTCAGTTCATCTCTAAATTGCAGTTTGCCGTGACTGTTCTTTTGACATCATGGACAGAGGAAAAACAACGTCGAAAAAGAACTACTACCTTATGTATACTCAACATTGTCTTTTCTCCATTCGTCTTGGTCATCCTAGTTTTTTCTACACTACTCTCTTCTCCCTTACTCCCCCTTTTCACCCTTCCTCTGTTCTTGGTGGGGTTTCCCCGACCTATTCAGAGTTGGCCAGGAGCAGCAGGCACCACAGCCTGTGTGTGTGCAGATACAGTGTACTACTACCAAATGGTCCCCAGATTGACTGCTGTGCTGCAGACTGCAATGGCAGCTGGAAGTTTAGGTAAGTAAATGGGGTGTGCTCAAGAATTTCTCACTAATGTATTTAAAGTGAAAAAAAAAAACGAATAGAAAAAAAGAAAAGTAGGGAAAAAGTCTTTTTATCCAACCATAATATAGCAAAACAACATTATACACTTTGATGTGTAGGCAGAATGACTAAATATGAAATTAGAAGTTTATCTCCTGATCCTTATTTTGATCTGAATTAAGTTATAAAATAAAAATACTTAGGAAAGTTTTTCTTAAGGTTATTTGATAATTTTTAAAATACATTTTCTTGAATAAATTCAGATTACATTTGCACCATTGAAACATGGAAACACCTTTCTTCCAGGATTTCCATGAATTTTTTTTTTTAGGGGAAGAGAATTTTCAATTCTGCCCATGCTGACCTTGAACATGTAGCCTTGCCTCCTCATGCGACAGGACAACTGGTCTGAGCCACCGTGGCTCATGATTTCCGTGAATTTATGAGTTCATGTCAAGTAGATGCAATAGCTTACATTGATAAAGTTTAGTGAAAACTAGCTTTACATAATACCAACTTGAGGAGCAGAAGGGAGTTTTGTTTATACCTTACTAGTTAGAGAGTTAAGCAGTCTGACAAGATAACTGGGCAAGATAACATAAAAATTTTGGTCAGTGATCAGTAGGAAAGGTAGCCTCCCAAAGTGAAGTGCTATGCAGTTATTAGCAAGAAAATAGATTTTTGATGACAGCGAACTAATCTTACAAGTTTTAATGCTTTTGTCAAACACTAACTGTACATTTTAACTGTATTATACTTCTCAAGGTTGATTTTAGATAAGGTATAAGTTGATGACACTAGTGTGTCATCTCCTACCATGTGCTTTAGCCCCTGAAACTTGTCTTTAAAATGACAGATTACTTTCTGACAAACTCATTCTAGGTAGAGTAGCAATTTGAGATTATAATTTTAATAAAACACTTGAGGTTGAACTTTTCTAATATGTGAGATGATTTATGAGACAAAATTATCTTTATAGCACAAATTTTTTATGAATAATTATTTTTCTTACAGAAAATAGTTTGTACTTATAATACTTTTATCCAGTGCTGTTAATTTTCATTATGTAATGCTATTCTTTTTAAAACAGCTGTGGGGTTAAACGCCCATCAGAAATAGTAATTACCTAAAAATTATACTTTATTATCAAACCAAATACACTCAATCAAGAATTATAAAGTAGTTTCTGATGGGCAGAGAAAAAAAGCAATGAGATAATATTTCACATAGGACATTGAAGTGGCAAAAATGTGAACAGTTTGACACTATGAAGTATTGGCTAGGGCATGGGGAACAAGAACTTTCAAACCTTGCTATAAGGAATTTGTACAATCACTTTGAAGAGTTAATTGGTAGTCTGTGGTAAAGATGTACATATCCCATGTCTCAGGGATTCCAATTTTAGATTCCATGATTTAGTGATTCCAATTGTAGAGAAATTCTAGTGCATGTGTTTTGGAGGTCCTCAAGACCACCCCAGGTTTTATGGTTCACTAGGAGGACTCACAGCTAAGATTTATTACAGCAAGAGAATGCAGAGCAAAATCAGCAAAGGGAGAAACCACAAGGAGTAAAAGAGACCAGGTGCAAGTCTCCAGCAGTCGCACGGAGTCACATAGAATGTGTTTAATTCCCTGGCAATAAGTTGTGATCTGCGACATGCTGACTGCCAGAGAAGCTCATTTGATACTCAATACCTAGGGCTTTTGTTGCAGGTTGGTCATGCAGGCACTTTCTGCCTGGCATGTACCAATACTGCAGAATCCCAAAGAGAGAGCAAGTGTTCAGTATATATTGTATTGTTTGTGTGGTTAGACACATGAGAGACTCTTACCAGCTAGGAGGTTCCCAGATGCCAGCTGAGTACTAACCATATAAGCAGGCCTTTCAAAGAACAGCCATCAGTTCTGGTGTGTTAACACTGTTCTGAACCACATGTTGTGCAAGCAGACTTGCACAAAGATAATTTCTGCAACATTAGTTACAATAGTGAAAAGTTGGAAACATCTGAAAAGTTTATCAATGAGGAAATGAATACTCAAATTCAGTTACATTGTTACAGTATATTTTCAACAGCAGTTACAATAAATAAATTTTAGCTGTTTGCCATCCATATGGGCAAATCTCAGAGATAAAAGTATTTAGAGAAAGCTGGGCACAGTGGCTCATGCCTGTAATCCCAGCAGTTTGGGAGGCCAAGGCAGGCAGATCACTTGAGGTCGAGAGTTTGAGACCAGCCTGACCAACATGGAGAAACCCCATCTCTAAAATACAACCAAAACAAAACAAAACAAAAAGCCAGACTTGGTGGTGCATACCTGTTATCCCAGCTACTCAGGAGGCTGAGGCAGGATTGCTTGAACCCAGGAATCAGAGGTTGTGGTGAGCTGAGATCATGCCATTGCACTCGAACCTGGGCAACAAGAGCAAAACCCCATCTCAAAAAAAAAAAGTAGAGAAAAACTAAATTTAACAAGTATTTGTACAGTGTGGTAGCATTTTATGTACATTTTGTAAGCCACAAAACCCTTTTATATGCATGTACATAAAAATGTCAAAAATATTTTAAGTCATGACTGTGAAGTTGACTTCTATAAACTCAATACTTTTCCTAATATAATTAACATGTATTTAAGATTTTATGCAATTTCTAATTTGTTTTTCTGGAAAATCCTTGAATTTTTATGTATTATCACCTGTAGATTGTCTCTTCCAACTGCTCTTGTAAAGAATTAACTTAATGCCTCCGGATACACAGTGAATAGTTATTTCTGTTCTTGACCTAATGAGAGGGTAGAAGTTGTGAATCAGCTCTAGATAACGTTTTCAGTTTTGAAGATACACGGCAAAATAAAAGAAACTTGAAAAATGATTTTCTTTTTTTTTTGTTTTCTGATTTGTTGTAGGCCTCCTCCTACCTGGATCTCATTACTTGGGCCGTTTTGAGGATCGTTTAATATGGATAATAATTCTGGAATGTGGCTATACGTACTGCTGTATTAACATTAAGGTCAGCGTGCATTTAAAACATCTCTAGTATATTTTATACTAAATGTGTAAAATTTTACCTGTTCACATCACTCTATTTGATGTTTTTTAACTCCTATATCATTTAAGCATTCTCAACTTAATAAAAACTGTCTTCTGATCCTACCTGCTATACCCTATTTCTTTCCTTCCTTGAAGAGCAAAATTGCCTTATTAGAGCTGCTTATAATCGTATCTCCAATTTAATTTTTTCCATCCTGTCTTCAATTTACTCTAGGTTTTTGACCCTGCTACTCTACCCAACCTGCTCTTGTCAAGGTCTCTGGTGACTGACACATTGCTAATTCCCATGAACAACTCTGAGAAGCAGTCTTATTTGAACCATCAGCAGCATTTTACACAGTTGTTCTCTTCTCTTCACTTGTTTCATGGGTTACTTCTTGACAGTCTACTTTGTGATTCCTTCTCTTTTCTTTGACCTTTTAACAGTAGAGTGTCCTAGAGCTTAGCAGTCCTTGGTGACAAATCTGTTCTTCTGGTTGCTCAGGCCAAAAATACTGGAGTCATGTTTGACTCCTTTTTTACTTGTATACCCCCACATCCAGTCCAATAAGAAATTTTATTGGCTCCACCTTTAAACCGTATTCTGTAATCCAACTTTTTTTACCACCTTGGTCCCAGCCACCTTGATCCCTTACCTGGATAATGGAAATAGCCTCCTAATTGGTCACCCTGCCTCCACCTTTGTGCCCCTACAGTATACTGTCAACCAGAATGATCTTTAAGATCTGAGTTACTTCTGTACTCATGTTACTTCTGTACTTATAACCCTACAGTGGATCTCCTCTTTCATTCATAGTAAAAGCCAGGCTCTAAATGGCCAGGCTTCCTATACTCCCACTCTTATGACAGCACTCCCAATCCCCCTTGCCTGGCTTTACTTTTTACTTATTTTTATAGTACTTATACCTTCTCACAAACTATGTAATTTACTTACTAGTTTCACAATTGATTACCCATGTCCCTCGCTCTATAAGTATCGCAAGCACAGGGATCTCTTGTTTTTATTCAGGAATACAGTGCCTGGCACAGAATAGGCCTTTAACAAAGGTTTTTTTAAATGAATAATAGATGTTTTGTACTAGCACAGATTGGATAAAATTGCTAGTAACTAAAAAGCTGTCTCTTTAGTCCAGCATTTGGTCCTCCAAATGCAGTGCCCAGACTAGTAGTAGTAATATTTCCTGAGAACTTGTTAGAAGTGCAAATTCTTGAGGCCTACCCTGAACCTACTAAGTTAGAAACTCTCGGAGTGGGCTCAGCAATCTGTATTTCAAAGAGCACTCCAAATGATGCTGACTCACCTACTGATTGAGAACCTCTGCTCTGGTCTAACCCGTATAAGAAGGCAAAAGATATTGAGGACATTTTGATTACTTAATTTTATTCTATTTTAAAATGATATGGTTTAATAATATTTAATAATGTTGATTGATCCTTTGTGCTCTGTGACATACGTGGTTTTAAAATATACTTTTTGAGTTACTCGGGAGGCTGAGGCAGGAGAATCGCTTGAACCCAGGAGGTGGAGGTTGCAATGAGCTGAGTTCGTGCCACTGCACTCCAGCCTGGTGACAGAGAAGACTCCATCTCAAAAAACAAAACCAAAAAACCCCTACTTTTTGGTGGTACTCTTTGCTGTTTGTCTTTTTTTCAACACAAGTTGGGTTAGGCCATGCCATCTATTAACAATTATATTAATAGTTTAAAATTTACAAAACTTACACAACCTTCACAACCATATGCACTAGGATTATTTTCCTTTGAAACAGAGGAAAAAGGAATCTCAGAGAGGATAGGTTGTGATGTTGGTCACATCGGGGTCACCACCTGTGAGTGTCTGTCCTGAAGACCCTAATTCTGCAACATGAATAAATACACTCAAACACAGAGTATAGTGAACAAGTGGTCTAGGGAGTGACACGCTTCCCACAGAGCAAGATCACAACTACATGACACCCACTGGTTCTCCTTCCTTGCATTTATGTAGTATAGATTTAACAGCAAAGGCTCTGAGTAAACACACTTGTGGATAATTAACATGATTAAGAGAGTAGTCCTTAGAAAGTTAAAGTTCAGATACCATTGCCCAGAATAACTACCATTAAAGGATAATCTCCCTGCTTGACCTCCCATATAGAGGGCCATCTGGCTCAAAGTTTACATGAGTAAACAAGCTGGTTAGAGACAAAGGAATGTGGGGATTTATTTAATTATTTAACTAAAGGGACAAGGCTGCCTTCGGCTGAGTAATAAAAAAACTTTTGGCCTTCCAAAAGGGTTTTTGACTATATTCTGTAACTTCCCTTTAATATTTCTGCCACCATCCTGAGTGAACCCCAACAGCTGGTGACCTGCTCAAGTTGTGTGCCAGTACCTGGTAGAGCCATGACTTAAAAACAAGTTCTGTACTTATAGCTTTGAAAAAATATATAAATAAGCAATAGCAATAGGTGTTGTATTAGTAAATAGTGACCTGATACATCCTCTTTAAGTGATTCCTTCTAAGGAGGTAATCAAAATGTGTTTAAAATTTATTTAAGGACATATTGATAATATTCACTCAGCATATATTTGTTGCATATCCACTGTATACCAGATACTGGTTTAGGCACTACTGATACAGCAGTAAGCAAGGTAATTAAAGAAGTAAATCTGCATTGTGATGTTATCATAAATCTGGAACAGCAGAATGATAAATTCTGGCATATCCATACAATTGAATAATGCTGTTGGTCTTATAAAGTGGGTTGGAAATGATATAATACTACTGTATATACTGTATAATTCTTATTTTGCTTTTTTCAGCTTTTTGCAGAATTATAATTTAAAAGTTTTTACTGTGTGGTTCACTCTTGACTATGGATATAGTCTTTTAAAATTATAATCATACCTAATAAATTTGCCCAGTTTCTAGTAAAATTTCACATTTTCAAAAATATGGTAGCATTATTTTTCATCTCTATCCAGTATCAAATGTGTTAAGTGCCATTAAGTTTAAGTCAGGATGTTGCTCTTGAGTTAAAGAAATTATTTTCATTATGTTCCATATTTTTGTGATGAGAGTCTATGGGCATTTACAAGACTATTTGCTGTATTCTATGTAATATATGATTATAAACTCCAGTGCTTTTTATTTCTTCTGTAGGGGTTAGAATTGCAGGAAACATCCTGTCATACTGCAGAAGCTCGCAGAGTTGATGAAGTTTTTGAAGATGCTTTTGAGCAAGAATACATAAGAGTACGTTCTCTTAATAAGCACTTTGGAAATGTCTTGACACCCTGTACTGTTTTGCCTGTGAAATTATATTCTGATTCCAGGAATGTTCTATCAGGCATAATTGATGCTCATGAAAACTTAAAAGAATTTAAAGATGACCTCATTAAAGTACTTGTGTGGATACTTGTTCAGTACTGCTCCAAAAGGCCTGGCATGAAAGAGAGTGGTCACAACACTGAAAATAAAGGGAAAGCACCTCTAATCTTGCCTGCTTTGAATACTTCACTGCCTCCTGAATCCCCAGAAGACATAGATAGTTTAAATTCAGAAACTTTTGATGACTGGTCTGATGATAATATTTTTGATGATGAGCCAACTATCAGAAAAGTAATAGAAGAAAAACATCAGTTGAAAGATTTGCCAGGTACAAATTTGTTTATCCCAGGATCAGTAGAATCGCAGAGGGTTAGTGATCATTCTACAGGCACAGTTCCTGAAAATGATCTTTACAAAGCAGTTCTATTAGGATACCCTGCTGTTGACAAAGGAAAACAAGAAGACATGCCATATATTCCTCTCATGGAGTTCAGTTGTTCACATTCTCACTTAGTATGCTTACCTGCAGAGTGGAGGACTAGCTGTATGCCTAATTCCAAAATAAAGGAGATGAGCTCGTTATTTCCAGAAGACTGGTATCAATTTGTTTTAAGGCAGTTGGAATGTTTTCATTCAGAAGAAAAGGCTTCAAATATACTGGAAGAAATTGCAAAGGACAAAGTTTTAAAAGAATTTTATGTTCATACAGTAATGACTTGTTATTTTAGTTTATTTGGAATAGACGATATGACTCCTCGTCCTGGTCATATATTGAGAGTTTACAGTGGCGTTTTGCCTTGGTCTGTTGCTTTGGACTGGCTCACAGAAAAGCCAGAACTGTTTCAACTAGCACTGAAAGCATTCAGGTAATTATTTTGATCATATACAAGTTGTAACGTTGGCAGAAAAATGCTGATTTTTCTAAATCACCTAATAAGAAGATAGTCCTTCATTTTTATTTTTTAAAGTTTACTTTCTTCAAAATGAAAAAATATATGTAGTGTAATTTTATCAAGAGTACACTTCAATTTGTATTTACTTTGGTTTTATTTATGTGGAGAACCTTTTTTATTATGGCTTACTGGATTTCTTCACTTGAACTACATCATTTCTCCCTCCACTTTTTATGATTTCCATTCATAAAAAGTGAATGTCATAAAGACATTCAATGTCTTTAAAATATTGATTTAACAAAATCTATTTGATCTATAAAGTTGACAACAAATACTCTAAAATTCTTTGCTTCTTCATTTTTTAGGTATACGCTGAAACTAATGATTGATAAAGCAAGTTTAGGTCCCATAGAAGACTTTAGAGAATTGATTGACTACCTTGAAGAATATGAACGTGACTGGTACATTGGTTTGGTATCTGAGGAAAAGTGGAAGGAAGCAGTTTTACAAGAAAAGCCATACTTGTTTTCTCTGGGGTATGATTCTAATATGGTAAGTTTAAAAAAAATTTTCGACATTTTCATACACTAACCTCAAAGAATGGAAATCAGTTATAAAATATTTGAACTAAGTGATACATGATGTAACATTCTGGCTGTGATATATTAATTATAGTTTTAAGGCATTTGTAATCATGACTTTATGGCTAAGCTATATGAACTCTAGAATAGCTGGTTTCTCTGTTTTTTCCAACTGAAGAGGAGCCAATGAAAAATCTTGTATAGCCATAGTGCAATACCTGACCTGTAAGAGAGCCAAATATGTGTAGTATGCTACAATACAACATATTTTATTAAGTGAATTGTATTCCTATGTTCAAGTGTATGAATTATCACTTGCATTTGACTACTAGAAAAATTTATTTGTAAATGACAAAGTATTTTGTTTACATTTATACTGTATTGAAGCAAACCTAACCTGTGAAAATCCAGAGACTTAAAATAGGGGATGACTCTCAGATTTAGTACTTGTCCTTTTTGTATTTAAAATGTCATCAAGAGAACACAATATGAAAGTGTCAATGTTATGAGCTTATTATGGGTTCTTCTGTCTTGCATTATGTTTTGAGGAGCTCTACAAATGCATTCTCCAATGAAACTGCTGAAATTTTTTTTTTAAATAACCATTTAAAGTCTTAGAAAGTCACCTAAGGGCATACATCAAATGAACACACATTTATTAAAAAAAAAATCTGCTAAAACCCAGTGAGAATAGCAAGAGACTGCAGTATTTGAACCAAGACCTACCCTAGCATTTATGGGATGAACGCTTTATCTTGGGTGTGGTGCTGCTGAAAATACTGGGGCCTTGATCACTCTTGCCTACTCATAATGCTGGGCGAGGCAAGCTGGAGAGACCTGAGGCTACTCCTTCCTTCCACCAAGTGCTTATCTCCAAAAGCAGAAGTGTCACTAAAGATAGAAGCATGCTATTGCCCCATCCCTCACATCCACAAGTCTGGCTCAGAGATTTTGCCCAGTGGGAGAAGCAAATTATTAATGACAACAAAAAAGCTCTGAATCTCTGAGGAACTGATTCATCTGCAACAGAGTGTACACATATTGAAGCCCAAAATGCTCTTAAAAACAGTGGAGGAGTTGCTGTTTCATGATAGTATCAAAAAAAGGAAAGAACAAAAACAGTGGAGGCTGTGGTGAAAAGTAATTTTTAGGAGACTGGTAGGTTCATTAAACTGAACTGTAAACTGGCTAGATTTTTTCAGGGGAAGAAACAGCAAAGAGCCTTCCTGGGATCAGAACAAATCTCAAACACTGACATCAAAGCTATTCCTTTGAAGAAGTTCACATTTAATTGGATCAGTTTGTGGAGCAATTTATGCCCGGGGTCATTATTGAAAACATAGAGTAACCAGATGGCAATCAGTGGAGCTTAACAGCTGGGTGTGAACAGTTGACAAACAAGATAGCCCTGCCAAAACCACCCCAAGGTAACTGTGTGCATTCACAGTTTGGCTGTACTCTGAGAGGCCATGCCTGAGACTTCAGACTGGGCAGGGGATGGTAGGGAGTAGACAGGGATTGACTTCACTACAGTAAGCCAGCCAGTCACTAAACAAACAAGTACATAATAACAAGCCCTGGAGTTAGGAATGAAGAGGACTAGCACCCAGAATTTCTAGTGTTGCCTGGAATATCCAATTTCAACAAAAAATTGAGACATGCAAAGAAATGGGAAAGTATAACCCATACACCAGGAGAAAAAAAGCAGACAACCAGACTTCTCAGTGAGAGGGAAGAGATATCAGATTTAACAAAGATTTCATGGTAGTCATTATAAATATGTTCAGAGAACCAAAGGAAACCATGGTTGACAGTATGATGAAACCAAAGGACATACAGTGACAATCCTACATCAAATAGAGAATGTATGTAGAGATAGAAATTATAGAAAAAGAACCAAATGAAAAATTCACTAGAGGGGCTTGACAGTAGGCTTGAGCTGACACAAGAAGGAATTAGTGAATTTGAAAATTGTAGATCAATAGAGATTACGCAATCCAAAGAAGAGAAAAGAATAAATAAACCATTCAGGACATAGGCATAGGCAAGGACTTCACGACTAGAAGACCAAAAGCACTGGCAACAAAAGCCAAAATGGACAAATGGGAACTAATTAAATGTCAGAGCTTCTGTACAGCAAAAGAAACAATCATTAGAGTGAACCAGCAACCAACAGAATGGGAAAAAATTTTGCAATCTACTCATCTGACAAAGAGCTAATATCCAGAATCTACAAACTAAAACAGATTTACAAAAGTGGGTGAAAGATATGAACAGACACTTTTCAAAAGAAGACATATGTGAGGCCAACAAACATGAAAAAATGCTCATCATCACTGGTCATTAGAGAAATGCCAATCAAGATACCATTTCACGCCAGTTAGAATGGCGAACATTAAAAAATCTGGAGACAACATGCTGGAGAGGATGTGGAGAAATAGGAACACTTTTACACTGTTAGTGGGAGTGTAAACTAGTTCAACCATTGTGGAAGACAGTGTGGTGATTCTCCCAAGGATCTAAAATAAAAATTCCATTTGACCCAGCAATCCCATTACTGGGTATATACCCAAAGGATTATAAATCATTCTTTTATAAAGACACATGCACATGTATGTTCATCGCAGCATTGTTTATAATAACAAAGACCTGGAACCAACCCAAATGCCCATCAATGATAGACTGGACAAAGAAAATGTGGCACATAGCCACCATGGAATACTATGCAGCCATAAAAAATGATGACGTCGTGTCCTTTGTAGGGACATGGATGAATCTGGAAACCATCATGCTCAGCAAACCGACACCAGAACAGAAAATCAAACACCACATGTTCTCACTCATAGGCAGGTGTTGAACAATGAGAACATGTGGACACAGGGAGGGGAGCATCACGCACTGGGGTCAGTTGATGGGGCTAGTGGAGGGACAGTGGAGAGTGGGGAGGGTGGGGAGGGATAACATGGGGAAAAATGCCAGATATAGATTATGGAGGCAGCAAACCACTTTGCCATGTATGTACCTATGCAGCAATCCTGCATGACCTGCACATGTACCCCAGAACCTCAAGTACAATAAAAAAAAAAGAGAGCTTCAGAGAAACGTGGGACACTATTAAGTACTCCAACATATACTTAATACCAGAAGGAGAAGGGAGAGAGAGAAGGGAGAAAAAAATTATTTGATGAAATAATGGCTGAAACTTCTTAAATATATTGTAAAACATTAATCCACACATCTAGGAACTTCAATGAACTTTAGAACAAATGCAAAGAGATTCACAAGCAAATATATCATAGTAAAAATGCTGAAATCAAAGACCAGGAGAAAACCTTGAAAGCACCAAGCAAAAACTACTTGTACATTTTAAGAAAAGTCTGATAAAATTCACAGCTGACTTGTCATCAGAAACAATGGAGACCAGAAGCATGGAATGACATATTCAAAGTGCCCCCTAAAAAACTCCCAAAACAAAAAGCTTAACCAAGTGCCCTATATCTAGCAAAGTGATCTTTCAAAAATGAAAGAAAATAAATTCACAGTTAAAAACAGAAGCTGTTGCTACCAAACCCACCTAACAAGAAATACTAGAGTTCTTCAGGCTGAAAGCAAGTGACCACAGACAATAATTCAAATAACACACAAAAACAAAGAGCACCAGTAAAGGTAACTGTGTAATTATAAAAAACAGTAAAAAGGCTTATTTCTTCTCTTAACTGATTTGAAAAGCAATTCTACAAAACAATATGTATTCACATATTGTTGGGCCTATAACATATAGGAATGTAATTTGTTAATAATTGCACAAAGGAAGCCAGTAGGGGCACAGCTTTACTGGACAAAGGAAATGAATCCAGATGATTCATTTCTGGATTCTTGAATCTACAAGAATAAAAAGAAACAGCAATTTTTTTAAGGGTAACATAAGGTCACGTGCAGTGGCTCATGCCTGTAATATCAGCACTTTGGGAGGCTAAGGCGGGTGGATCACCTGAGGTCAGGAGTTCAAGACCAGCCTGGCCAACATGGTAAAACTCCGTCTCTACTAAAACTACAAAAAAAATTAGCTGGGCATTGTGGTAGGTGCCTGTAATCCCAGCCACTATGGAGGCTGAGGCGGGAGAAGCACTTGAACCCAGGAGGTGGAGGTTGCAGTGAGCTGAGATTGTGCCACTGCACTCCAGCCTGGGTGACCAAAGCAAGACTCCATCTTAAAAAAAAAAAAAAAAAAAAAGGGCTAACAACAAGGCTGGGCATGGCAGCTTATGTCTATAATCCCAGCATTTTGGGAGACCAAGGCAAGAGGATTGCTTGAGACCAGGAGTTCCAGACCAGCCTGTGCAACATGGCAACATCCCATCTCTACAAAAAATAAAAATTAAGTGTGGTGGCATGCATTTGTAGTCCTGTCTACCACTTGAGAGGCTGAAGTGGGAGGATTACTTGAGCCAGAAGTTCAGATTATAGTCAGCTATCATTGCACCACTGCACTCCAGCTTGGGTGATGGAGGGAGACCCTGTCTCTAAAGAAATAAAAATAATTAATATAACAAGCACAATAAATGTATACTGGCTCCCTTTTCTCTCAGCTTCTTTTAAAGACATAAAATTATATAAAATAATTATAACAATGAACTGTTGGATTTATAACATTTATAATGTAATATATATCACAGTACCACAAAAGGGAAGAAAAGGAACTAGAACTCTGTAAGAATAATATTTCTGTTTCACCACAATTAGTATAAATCTGAAGCAGATTCTTGTAAGACAGAGATAGTAAGCTTTAGTCAACCATTGAAGAAATAACTAAGAAAAAAAGTGAAAACAATAATTAAAGAAATTTAATTGGGATATTACAAAATAGTCAATGCAGAAGAAAGTCAAGAAAGAACAGAGGGATAAAAAAGATATGAGACAAACAGGAAAATGATAGACAAAATTCAGCTATTTCAATAATTAATGGGAATTGATTAAATAATCCAAATGAAAGGCAGAGATTGTCAGACTGGATTTAAGAAAATGCCTGTAATCCCAGCACTTTGGGAGCCCAAGACAGGTGAATCACTTGAGTCCAGGAGTTCAAGACCAGCTGGGCAACACAGACCTTGTCTCTACAAAAAAAGAAACACAATTATCCAGACATGGTGGTGTGTGTTCCAGTAGTCCTAGCTACTCTGGAGACTGAGGTAAGAAGATTGCTTGAGCACAGGAAGCTCTATGATATATAAAATATATAATATTTTATTAATATATAAATATGTAATATATAAAATAAAAGACAAAAATCACACTATCATCTCAGTAGATATAAAAAAAACTATTTAACAAAATCCAGCACCCTTTTATGGTAAAAACAACCAGGAAAGAAGGGAACTTCTTCAACTTGAACATCTATGAAAAATTCACATGAACATCATAATTATTGGTGAAAGACTGGATGCTTGCCCCTAAGATCAAGAAGATAAGAATATCTACCCTTACCACTTTTGTTAAACATTGTACTAGAGCTTCTAGCCAGGTAGTATGGACTGAATGTTTATATACACCCCAGATTTATATTTGAAGCCTAACCCCCAACATGATGGTATTAGGAGGTGGGACCTTTGGGAGGTAATTAGGCTTAGATGAGATCATGAGGGTGGAGTCCTATGATGGGATTAGTGCTCTTGTAAGAAGAGTAAGAGACACCCAGAGATTCCTGTCTTTCTGCCATAGAACAGAATAAGAAGATGGCTATTCATGAGCCAGGAAGATAGCCCTCATCAGAACCCAGCCATGAAACCACTCTGATCTTGGACTTCCCAGCCTTCAGAACCATGAGAAATAAATGTCTCTTGTTTAAGTCACCTAGTCTATGGTATTTAGTTATAGCAGCCTAAGCTAAGACACCAGAGTAATTAACCAAGAAAAAGAAATAAAAGGCATTCAGTTTAGGAAGAAGTAAAATTATCTCTATTCACAGATGACATGATCTTGATGTGTAGAATATCTAAGGAATCAACTAAAAAACTTAGAACTGATAAATTCAGGATGGTTGCAAGATACAAGATCAACATACAAAAATCTGGTGAATTTCTACACACTAGCAATGAACAAACCAAAAATGAAGTTTAGGAAATCCCACTTAAAATAGCATCAAAAAGAATAAAATACTTAGGGAAATATGAACAGGAATAGTACAAAGCTTATACTCTGAAAACTACAAAACATTGTTAAAAGGGGAAATTAAATATCTAAATAAATAGAAAAACATCTAGTATTCATAGATCAAAATAATATTGTTAAGATGGCAATACTCTCCAAATTTACAGATTCAACACAGTCCATTTCAGAATTCTAGTTGGCTTCGTTGTGGAAATTGACAAGCTGATTTAAATTTATGTGGAATTTCAAGATACCCTGAATAGCCGGAACAGTCTTGAAAAAGAAAATTGACAGTCTCATACTTTCAAGTTTCAAAACTTTATGAAACAATAATCAGTACAGTATGGTACTGACATAAAGATAGACATATAAATCAGTGGAATTGAATTGAAGATCCAGAAATAAACCCATGGGTCTTTGGCCAACTAATTTTCAACAAGGATGCCAAGACCATTCACTGGGAAAATCATCTTTTCAACAAATGGCGCTGGGACAATTGGTTAGCCACATTCAAAAGGATAATGTTGGATTACTAGTATTAGTTTCCCAGGACTGCTGCAACAATCATCACCACAAACTGGGTGACTTTTAAAAAATGGAAATTTATTCTCTCATGTTCTAAAGGTTAGAAGGCTGAAGTCGGGGTACCAGTAGAGAGCCACGCTTCCTCTGAAGGCTTTAGGCAAGAATCTTTCCTTGACTCTTCCAGCTTCTGGTGCCCCTTAACATTCCTTGGCTGTGACTGCATAACTCCAGTCTATGTCTCCATCTTTGCATGGCCTTATTCCCTATATTCTCTTGTGTCAATTCTGTTACTACTTTCTAAGGATATCAGTCAATTGCTTTAGGACTCACCTAAATCCAGGATGATCTCATCTCTAAATCTTTAATTACATCTACAAAGTACTCATCCCAAATAAGGTCACATTCACAGGTAACTTCAAAGAGATGCTATTCAACCCACTACAGACCTTACTTTATACCATACTTTTAAAATAACTCAAAAATACATCAAAGACCTAAACATAAGAGCCATAAAAATCTTAGAAGGAAACATAAGGGCAAATCTTCGTCACCGTAAACTTGGCAATAGTTTCTTAGATATAACACCAAAGCATGAGAAACAAAAGAAAAATAGACAAATATGACTTCATCAAAAGTAAAAACTTTTGTTCTTCAAAGGACACCATCAAAAAAGTAAAAGACAACTCACAGAATGGGAAAAATATTTGCACATACTGATAAGGGACTGTTACTAGAATATATTTAAAAAAAAAACCTCTTACAACTCTATAATAAAAAGATAAACAGATTTTAATGTGGACAAAGGATCTATATAGACATTTCTTTAAAGAAGATGTACAAATTGCAAATAAGTACATGAGAAATGCTTCATATAATTAGTCATCAGGGAAATGCAAATCAAAACTACAATAAAATATCACTTCACACACACAGAATGGTAAAATCAGAAGGTCTGAAAATAAGTGTTAACAAGGATGTGGAGAAATTGGAATCCTCTTCTACTGATCTTGGGAATGTAAAAATTGTGCAGCCACTTTGGAAAATATTACAGCAGTTTCTCAAATAGTTAAGCATAGAGTTAACATATGACCTAGGTAGTCTACCCCTAAGTATATTTACCCAAGAGAAATGAAAACATAGATCCACATGAAACCTTGTACATAAATGTTTATAGCAACATTATTCTTAATTGCTATAAGGTAGAAACAACCCCACTGTACATCAACTGCTGAAGACAAATTTTAGTATATCCATATAATGGAATATTATTCTGCCATAAAAAGGAATAAGGTACTGATACATGCTACAACATAGATGAACCTTGAAAATATGCTTAAATGAAAGAAATCAGTCACAAAAGACCACATATTATAGGATTCATTTCAAGTGAAATTTACAAAAGAGGCAAGTCTATAAACATAAAAAGTATGTTGGTTGTTGCTTAGGGAAGGGTCAGTGAGGAGATAGGATGGTGATAACTAAAGAGTACAAGGCTTCTTTTTGAGGTTATGATATTTTAAAACTAACTGTGGTTATGGCTGTACATATCTGTGACTAATAAAAACCGTTGAATTGCATACAGTAAGTAGATTGTATGGACCGTGAATTATATCTCAACAAAGCTATTTATTTAAAAAGAGCCTATTGTGTCATTCACCACCAAATAATATTTGACTATGCATCGCCAAGGCAACAGATCAGAGAAGGCAAACAAAGAGAAATGACTAAGATTTTGCCTAATGGTGATTGAGGTGGCTGCCAGGAAACTTTTATTTAAAGGACCAAGAAAGTAGAGGTGATTCTTGATTCTGAGTACAAGCCACTTGTTATGTACATTTTAAAACACTACTTTCTGTTTTTTGACCTTGGGAAAAGTTTGCCTAATTACAATGCAGTTTTTATCTAAGTTTATAAATAAAATGCAAAGACCAAAATGTAATCTCTTTTCTTTTTCTCCTCCCCCCACCCTTTTTACTTTAAAGGGAGTTTACACTGGGAGAGTACTTAGCCTTCAAGAATTATTGGTCCAAGTGGGGAAGTTAAATGCTGAAGCTGTTAAAGGTCAGTGGGCCAATCTTTCATGGGAATTACTTTATGCCACAAATGATGATGAAGAACGTTATAGTATACAAGCTCATCCACTACTTTTAAGAAATCTTACAGTACAAGCAGCAGATCCTCCCCTGGGATATCCTATTTATTCTTCAAAACCTCTCCATATACATTTGCATTAGAGCTCGTTTTGACTTGTCATGTCATCACATGCAGAGTTTTTATTTTTTCATTCTAAAAAGTAAGTGTGGTTTTTGTAACTTCATTAGACTTCTCCCTGCCCCATTCAAATGCCTGAGAACAGCTAAGATCCGTAAAGTTGGTTCTCTTAGCCATCTTAATGGTTTTAAAAAGCAACAAAATCATCTTTATGTCTAACATAAAAGTATAGAACGATTTGGCTATTATTTGTGCCCTCTGTACTTTAGTAGGCTTTGGTAAAATATGATAAAACATTTGTATAATCACTACATAATGAATTGTTTAATGCTTTCTTAAATGTGTGATAGGTGAGTTGCCATACTAAGTTAACAGCTATGTAATTTTTACATACTTAAAAGATATGCATATCAGTATTCTGAGTAATGATAATGGATCTTGTTCAAGGATAACATAATGTATATATATTTGTTTGAAATATATTTATAGTGTTTTCCTATGTGCTGTTTTATTTTATCATCTAATATTGTCTAAATGTTTTTAGACAAAGCATGTAGTTTCCTTTCATAGACTTCAATTCCTTTCCTTTCATAGACTTCAGTTCACAAATATCCTTTTCATATATATGAAAGGAGCAGGGTTTATCCCATTCATCATGTGAATATTCACAGGAAGAGCAATGTTAGGGTAATCTGCATATGACTACTAGAGCATAGATTTGAATCATTATATATTTCTTTCAACTGAATTAACTGCTTCTGAAAAAATAATTTACCCAACAGGACTACCAGTCACTAGTTTCTTAAGGTATATGAACTAAAGTCAGAAGGAGATGAGAAGAAAATTTTTATAATGTGATCTGAATTTTATTTTCATTCTCTTCTTGCTTAGGAACTTTTTACAAATACGTGTAAAGGGGATTAACAATGAATCTGCATCAGTTGAGAGATCAGATTTCTGTAGTTCTTACTTAATTTCCATTGAAATCAATAGGAGCCCCCTAGATCTGTAATAGAGTAATGCATTCTCTTTAGAAATCATGCAAGTTTTATGAAATGTATCAGTTAAACTGTTAATATTCCATTTATTTAGTATGTGGACCAATTTACTCTAATAATGTTAAAGGATAACTTTTTGGACCATTTTTCAGATAATGAATTCAAGAGATCTGTATGTTAACCTTTTTTTTTTTTGGAGGTAATATAGTTATTAAGATTTTGTATTACTCTGAGTTCACATCTCAGACTTATGATTTAATTTATATAATTGAGATTTACTAGCTGTACACCTTTATATCTTCATCATGTAGAAATATTTTCTCATGTCATTAAAAGTACTTGATAATTATCAGTTTTTTTATTTGTTTTGTTTTTTTGTTGTTGTTGTTGTTGTTTTGAGATGGAGTCTCTCTTTGTTGCCCAGGCTGCAGTGAAGTGGCATGATCTCAACTCCCTGCAACCTTCACCTCCCTAGATCAAGCGATTCTCCTGCCTCAGCCTCCTAACTAGCTGGGATTATAGGTTTGCCCCACCATGCCCAGCTAATTTTTGTATTTTTAGTAGAGGCAGGGTTTCACCATGTTGGCCAGGCTGGTCTCGAATTCCTGACCTCATGATCTGCCTGCCTCAGCCTCCCAAAGTGTTGGGATTACAAGAGTGAGCCACCACGGCTGGCAGTAATTACCAGTTTTAATGACAGCATAATATTCTGTTGATAGATATTATTTATTGGACCTCTATCCCCCAAATAATGAGAAATTTAAATTGTCTAGAGATTTTCACTATGACAATAATGCCAATGCCAACCTATGCCTTCCCTTAACCTTGCATCCTTCTCAAACTGCTGCCATATCTCCATTTCATTCATAGCCAAGTTTTCTCTTTCATTTACTTGTCAAACCATTCAAATTTGGATCCCACCTCCACTACTCCCCTAAATTTAAAAAAAAAAAAAAAGTTTTTATTAAGGTCACTATTGACCTTTTTATTGTCAAACCAGCTAGGAGTAATTGACACATTTGAACATTCCTTGAATCAGCTTTTGTGTTTTCTTTTGGACTTTCCTGATACTACATTATCTTTGCTTTCTTCTTATCTTCCTAGCAACTCCTCAATCATCTTTGCTGCTTTCCTCTTCTACCTGACCTCTAAATTTTAGAATTTCTCAACAGTTGATTCTAGGCCCTACTTTGTATGTCTACATTCACCATTGATAATCTCATCTACTTCAAGACTTGAAGTATATTTGATGATGATCAAATATATGTACCTAACCCAACCTCTCTTCTTACACTGAACCTATATATATTATTTATTTGATGTCTTCACTTGATATATTAAAAACTGACTTAGACTTTGAAGGGAAGGTGAGGGTTAAAGAAAGACACACACACAGAAAGAGGGTAGTTTGAGAGCAAATGCAGACTTTAATTATGTTCATCATAAAACTTGCAGAGTAGGGGACCAGCTTAATGCCAGAGCCCACTGCTGCTTACAGACAGGGTGTACTTATTGGTATGGATGGGAGGGGTCTGGGCAGTATGGCTTGCTGCCTGGCAGGATATTGATAAGATGTTCCTATGTTGAGGTGGTTCTGGCCCTTGTTCGGGCAGGATGTCATCGTGGTGTTCCTTGGGCCTTTGCCCAACAAGATATGATAGGGATGTTTCTTTAGTTGGGCCTTTGTCCACCTTGGGTCTGGTCGTTAGGCAGGATGTTTCTCACTGCGTGAACGCCTGTGAAATATTTCACTTTGATCAAGGTCTGCAAAATAATGGGGAGCTTACAAAATGGTGCAGTTTGGGCTAACACTGACCTTACTGAATTTTCCCTAAAACCTACTTGTCTACTTTTGACTTTTAGAGGTACTTCATACCAGCTATTTCAGAGAACTAGAAAAGCCAAGCAAAATAATTTTTAAAATTTGCCTAAGGGTATTAGAGAACCAAAAGACAGTGAAGAATAACATCACTAAGATCTAAGATCTGATGATCACTAAGAATGAAACCTAGAGACCTGAGCTCAATTTTTGGGCTGCTTTTCTTTTAGAAGACATGCCAATTTAGGATAAGGTGTTTGAGAGATGCTAAGTAACAATTATGACAGTCTTGCTGCTGAGTTGGATAAGAACTGGAGACCAAGGCTCCAAGGAAGTAGGGGAGGGGAAAGGAACCCTAGTAACTGACCATACATTGGGCTGTGACCGCAAGGGACCATATCCAAATCTTAAGAGTGAAGAAAAACCTGATGCATTTAGGATCTTCTCACGTCCCAAAACTGGATTAGTGACCCATGGCTCTAACCTCTACCCAGAGCAAATGTAAATCCTTTCTGGACTGATCTTTTGAGTTATTTTTATAACTTTTTACATTTAGTGTTGGAAAGTTATTTAAGGCATCTGAGGAAACAAGGCAACATGATCAAAATCCGAAAGAAGCAAAAATTATAGGACAGAGCCACAGGGGATCCAGATAATGAGCTACTCAAAACAGGGTCTAAAATTACTACGTTTAGTGTGTTTAAAGATCTAAAACACAAGACAGAATTTCAGCAGAAAATCAGAAACTATATAGAAGAATCAATTGACAAGTCCCAAACTTAAAAGTACATTAATCAAGTTTAAGAATTCAGTGAATGGATTTGATAGAAACTGGATACAGTGAAGTAGGAATTAGTGAACTAAAAGTTCTATCAGAAGTAAATTCCAGATGTGAAAAATGAAGAGACAAAAGAAGATACAGTAGAGAGAATAAGAGACATGGAGTTAACATGAGAAGATCTAACATACACATTACTGGATTTCCAGAAGGAGAAGAGAGAATATGGCAGAAGCAAACTGTGAGGAGATAATGACTGAGAATTCTCCAAATTTTTAAAACACATCGAGACCTGCAAGATCAAAGGATGATAAATAAAAACAAAATTACATCTTAGCACATCCTAAGAAAAAATAAAACACAAAAAGAAAATCATGAAAGGAGCTAGACGTAATAAAAGATATTACTTTTAAAGGAGCCACAGTTTTATTAAACTGACAGCTAACTTCTCAACAGAAAATATGGGAACCAGAAATCAATGGAATGATATTTTCCAGTTACTGAAAGAAAATAACTGCAATTTTAGAATTCAATACCCAAAAACAATTCTTCAAGAATGAAGCCAAAGGCACTTTCAAACACAATAAATTTAATAGCAGATTGTCATTAAAGATAATAGTAAAGGGTACTCTTCAGACAGAAGGAAAATGATCCCAGAAAAAGATCAGGGATAAAAGTAGGAATTAACAGTAAAATTTTAAAAATAATATACAATTAAATCTAAGTGAACAATAACAAAATAGTCTCAGAGGTTAAAATAAATAATGTTAAAACATATGACAATAATATATAAATTTGGTGCAGGAATTCCAAGATCTTTAGGATTATCAGAAAGAAGATAAAAGTATAAGTAATATTAGACTTTGCTTTGTCATCTATAGGGTAACCACTAATAGAACAGCAAAAAGCAAAATAATCATATAACTACAACACTAATACAGGACGAAAGTGGAATAATAGGCAAAAAAGGAGAGAAAATATAAAATAGGACAAATAGAAACCAAATGGTAGATTAGGAGATTTAAATCTAAATTTCAGTTACAACATTCGTATGAATAGACAGTGTACCAATTAAATGCAAAGATTATCAAAGTGAAAAGAAAACCCACAAAGTACCTTTATACAAGAGATGCCTTAAATATAGGAGTACAAGGGTTGGAAATAAGAATAGAAAAATTTATAGTATGAAATATGAAAAAAACGATGGGGCAGGAGACTTTTGTGGCTATCCCAACATTATTCAGTGTAGATCTTAAGGTGAAAAGTATTATAAAGAGAGACAATTTGTAATGATAAAAGATTTGATTCACCAGAAAGTTTGAACAGGTCTAATAATTTAACAATATCACCTTGGGCTGGGCGCGGTGGCTCAAGCCTGTAATCCCAGCACTTTGGGAGGCTGAGGCGGGTGGATCACGAGGTCAAGAGATCGAGACCATCCTGGTCAATATGGTGAAACCCCGTCTCTACTAAAAATACAAAAAATTAGCTGGGCATGGTGGTGCGTGCCTGTAATCCCAGCTACTCAGGAGGCTGAGGCAGGAGAATTGCCTGAACCCAGGAGGCGGAGGTTGCGGTGAGCCGAGATCGCGCCATTGCACTCCAGCCTGGGTAACATGAGTGAAACTCCGTCTCAAAAAAAAAGAAAAAAAAAAAAAAAAAAAAAAAAAAAAAAAAAAAAAACAATATCGCCTCAAATATTTAAGCAGAAATGAACAGAACTAAAATGAGAAAAGACAAAGCTGCATTCCAGATTTTAATATACTTAGTAACAGAACAGCAGTCATGCAAAGATACGTAAATATGTAAAGATTGGAATAATATTTTAAAACTTAACCTAATTGGCATATATAAAACAGAATACCAAACAACTGCAAAATACACATTATTTTCAAATGCAGGTAGAATATTTATCAAAACTGACCATATTCTAAGTCATAAGGATGGAATATTTTCTTTGGCCATTTTCATTCACTTAGAAATCAACAATTTCAAAAATAGAAAATTTCTATTAAGTTTATAAATTAAGAAATACACTTCTACATAACTCATGGATCAGACACTAAATTACAATGTAAATTAGAATATATTTGAACTGAATAGTGAAAATGCTTTGTGTCAAAACTTATAGTAGACACCTAAAGCTATGCTTGGAAGGAAATTTATACTCTTAAATGCACATTTTTTAAAAAAAGATTGAAAATGAACCTAGAAGTTATCTCAAAAAGTTCTAAGAATAGCAAATTAAACCTGAAGAAAATAAAGGAAATAAAATAATAAAGATAAGAACAAGAATTAATGGAGTAGGAAATGAAGATACAATGGATCAACTAAGCCAAAAGTTGATTCTTTGAAAGGATAATTGATAAGTATCTGGTAGACTGAAAAAGGAAGAAACACAACCAATATCAGAAATGAAAGGATATCACAAATCCTACAGTCATTTGACAAAATATGTACACAACTGCATGCCAATAAGTTGGAAATTTTAGATGACGTGAACAAATTTTGTAAAATATGGAAGAGCCAAAAATGACAAATGAAAAAAATAGAAAATTTGAGTAGTTCCCTATCTGCTAAAGAAATGGAAACTATAGTTACTTTATTTACTTTTTCATGATGAAAGCTACAAGCCTAGATGGATTCGTCAATGGAAAGACAATTTTTAATTCTTACAAAAAGCAGTAGAAATACAGGAACCCTCCCCAACTCATGTTATGATGCCAGAAAATCTAGATACCAAAACCTGGCAAGGACTTTATGAAAAAGGGACCTATTTCATTCCCCTCAACATCAATGCAAAAATCCCAAACAAAATACTAGCAAACTAAATGACACACACACATGCACACACACACATCCCTACACACATGGAATAATAAATCACAAGTTGGGTTGAAAAACCACTGAAAAAGTGAAGTTGGTGTGATAGCTGAAAATCAGTATCATTCAACACACTAACATAATGAAAGGAGAAAAATATTTCAGTAGATCCAGAAAAGATATTTGATAAACCAGTATTAACTCCTAAAAACTTGCTTTTTAATATTCATCTTTATTATTCTTATCCTGAGTTTCCACATAAGATCTTCTGGGTCAGCGATAGATTTCTTTTTACTCAGGGCAATTAAGTGCACCTGCCCACATTCATGCTAGTCCATATCCCCAGGGCAGCCTGATGAGAACTCATGGGATTTTTGCTATGTAAGGGGCCAAACACTGCATAGGCAAAGGACAGGGAAAATTATTTTTCTCTACTTTTAAAGACAAAAGAGGCAGCTGTCCTCTTCCCCCGCGAAAGGGTCTCCTTTTACTCTTGTCTTGAAGTAGACAAAAAAAAAAAAAGTGTCTCCAAAAGCCAGATAGCCAGCCCAATGTGTCTCCTAGAGCTGTCTCCTACACCCCAGGGAATACTTAGGAAGCTAAAATATCTCAGTACAATAACCTAAGTTCCCACCACAAGAAACAAGAAAAAGAATAGCAAAATAAACTCAAAGCAGGCAAAAGAAATAAATAACAAAGAGCAGTAATGAATGAAACTGAAAATAGAAAAATACACAAAATACTCGTTCTTCAAAAAAAAATCAAGAAAATCCATAACCTGTAGAAAAGCTGACAAAAAGAAAAAACACAAATTATTATCAAGAATGAAATGAAGAATATCACTACAAATCAGGCAGTCATTAAGATAATGAGGAAATACTGTAACTTTCAGCTTATGCCACTTGACAACCTAGAAGAAATAATCCAATTCTTGAAAACCACAAACTAGTAAAACTCAACCAAGATGAATTAATCTGAATATCCTACAACTGCTAAAAGTCTTTTTCAAATTAATTGTTATCATTTACATTCCTGCCCGCAGTTTATGTGTACAAAGTGTGTGGTTACATTTATATAAAACTATAAAATGCAAACTAATCCACAATAATGTGAGCATATCATTGGTTGCCTGGAATGAGGTGGGCAAGGGGAAATGATTACAAAGGGGCAAAGGGAAACTTCTGGGGCTTATTTATGTGTTTACTCTCCCTATTGTGGTTATGGTTCACAAGTGTAGCCATTGACAAAATTTACCATATTGTATAGTTTATGTGCAGTTTGTCATACATCAATTATACTTCAGTAAAGATGTCAGAAATAACAGGAAATTCATTAAATCTACCTTTGAGTTACTGATTGCGACTGAGGTCTCATGTGGCATACTCGTGAATCCAGTAGCTGAGCAGACTAACTTTAAAGTCATCACTTCTGCTAACTTCTACCAGCTCACCTGCTGTCACCTTACACAGTCCCAGTGTTTCAGCTTTGGACTAATGAACACACCATTTCCTTCCTACATAAAAAGACCATTCAGGATAATGGTTAAGAAATACATCAGTGCAGAATAATACTTACAAAAAAGTTAAATGTGAACATTTGGTTTTTATTGCCCTTGACTGTCCCTGACAAAATGCACTTTGACGTAAAGCTGCCTTTTCCATCTTGTGCTGTTGACAAAAGAGCCTAAAAAAGAAAGAAGGTGTGTATAGAAGATGACATGCCATAGAAAAATACCATATGCAGGCTGGAAGCAGTGGCACTTTGGGAGGCCAAACTGGGTGGACCATTTGACGTCAGGAGTTTGAGACCAGCCTGGCCAACATGGTGAAACCTGGTCTCTACTAAAAATACAAAACTTAGCCGGGCATGGTGGTGCAAACCTGTAGTCCCAGCTACTTGGGAGCTGAGGCAGGAGAATCGCTTCAACCTAGGAGGCAGAGGTTGCAGTGAGCCGAGATGGTGCCACTGCATTCTAGCCTGGGTGACCAAGTAAGACTCCATCTCAAAAATGAAAAAAGAAAAATACCATACAGAAGAATAAAAAGATTTTAATTTATATATATTTCTTCTGTGCATTGGCTGGAGTAGCTGAACAGACATTGGCAGGCACAATGCTAGGCAGGCACTAGAGACTCACTGATGAATAAAACAAAACTGATCTGGAACCTGGCCTCCTGAAGCTTCTCTTAATCTGTCTGTATTCCTTTCTTTAAAGGCCCAGTGCAAGTGACACCTTCACTAGGAAGGGCTTCCACACTATTCTATCTGCAGATCTCCCTTTCCTGAACTATTATGCTTATAGTCTGTACCAGGCCACATGACATACGTCATTTTGTAGCATTCTAGAATTATTCCAGTCTTTTCATTTTTATAATTGGTGTGTTGTATTCAATAATGTCATTATTCTAGTTTTAATCACTGGTTACACAAGAGTCCTATTATATTTTATCCCCATAGTGCACCCCCATTTTCTTCCCCATCCTAAGTAATCATTATAATACCTAAATGTACATCTGATGTGTATATTAGGTTGTATGTTTTCTTGCAAAATGAGCACTATCTTCTGTGCACATATGTTTGTGTATGTGAACAGAATTGTGTGTTGTTTATTTCTTCACTCATTACCATATCTCTAGAACATATCCATGTTGTTAGGTATACATTTATTCCATTGCTTCTACCCGCTATACCTCATGGTGTACCTCCATCACATGTCATCTTCCCCCTTTCCCAAGGACAGCCACTTGAGTGGCTTCCAACTTGCCTAACAAATATTCTACAGTTATTTTATGTATGTTACTTTGGCTTCAGCTAAATTGTGAACTGCTTTAGATAAGGACCATGTTTTTCTTTACCTGTTACTCCTGATGATTTTCTGTTAGTGCCTGTGCATGGTTTCTCCTGTAAGGTGTTATACATTAAATTAAAATTAATCATAGTAGAAGTAAAGATTTGCCAGTGGAATCTTCCTCAGCTAAGTCTAATCATTGCTTTACCCCTTACTAGCTTTGTGACCTTGACCTTGGAAAAGTAAAACCTTGTTGCCCTTTTTTCATCTATAAAAATAGATAATACCATTTATCTTAGTGGACTGTTATGAGGAATGAGTTAATTAATACTAAGCACTGCAGTACAGCGTAAGACATACAACAGGTATTTCCTGTCAACTTTTCTAAGTAAAAGCATCTTTGAGGTAATATTTCTAATACTTCTTTGTATCTGCTCATTACCCAGCACTCTGCTTGGTATGAAATATTCCATACATTCATGTTGCTATGATTTGGATGTTTTTGTCCCCTCCAAAATCCCCAATGCAACAGTATTAAGGGATATGGCCTTTAAGAGGTGACTGAGTAATGAATGGGATTAATCCTCTTTTAAAAGAATTTTTCCCCGCTTGCCCTTCTGTCCCTTCCACCATGTGGACACACATTCCTCCACTGTGGAAGATGCAGCAATGAGGTGCCATCTTGGAAGCAGAGATCAGCCTTCACTAGACACTAATTCTGCTGGTGCCTTGGTCTTGGAATTCCCAGCCTCAAGAGTCATGAGAAATAGATTTCTATTGTTTATAAATTACCAAATATGTGATATTTTGTTATAGTGGCACAAACAGACTGAGACATGTTAAGTGGATTACTATAATTCTTTGGTCAGATGTGTGTTAACTTAGATTTTAAGCATATGTGCTAAAGTATTTTAAAAGGTTATTTTATCAAAGAATATAGTATGAGTTAATACCTTTTTTGCAAGATTCATGGCAATCTTTTATTATTTATTATTTCATTATATGTTGAAAGCAAAGTCATATCTATTAAAAAGTAAAATCACAAATTAGTCTCAGATTATTCAGAAGCGTAAGAAGATTGCTGTTTTCATGTTTTCCATTTCTCCCTCCAGTGACTTGAAAAGTACAGGCGCTCTTTTCAGTCATGTTTTCTCTTAAGGATATTAAAATAAGAAGAGTCAGCATCCTGTAAAAGAGGGACAGAAATATGAATGAGTACCTACTCCTATTTATCCCAGATTTTAACATTTAAGTCCTTCTGTTTTGAGGAGCTGTATCACTATGGTTCACTATTAAGAATCTTTGTAAATCTTGAGAAACTACTTAAATTAGCATTTAGAAAATCATAGCCAAAAATTCTAGATGCATGCAAAAGTATCTCCAATGAGTTTAGCATCATCTCTGGTTTAGAGAAGGGATAAATAGCACTGGACTACAATGCTAAATTCTCTATAATGACTTTTCTGGATCAGCATATCATACCTATATTGACTTGCCCTAATAAATAAAAAGAGTAAGTCAGATTTTGTAGAATTGAAATATATGGGAGATAACTCTTCAAAATTCTTTGTGAACTTTTTGTATATTGCTTAAGGAATATAACAAGGCAATGTGATAATCCCCAAGACGTGATGTTTCTTTTGGGAAGATATGCATTTACCACTTCCAAAACTTTGCACTAAGAAAGACAAAATAATGATAATACAAAATTCAGTGTAGCCACTGTTCTTGATCCCTAAAAATAATAAAGATTTATAAAAACAAAGTTCCAGGCACAATGTTCTTAGACTAAGGAAGCAAATTCTAGTTAACAGCAAGTACTATTAGCTTGAAATAAGCTATACTGGCATTTTGTTAACTTAGATGCTTATAAACATATATCAATAAGAAAATTTATATATATGTATATATGTGTGTGTATATGTGTATATATATACACGTGTATATATATACACACACACACATATATATGTATATGTGTGTGTGTATATATATACATGTATATATATACACACACACACACACATATATACGTGTGTGTGTGTGTGTGTGTATATATATATATATATATAAAAAAAAATAGAAAATAATGGGGGAGAGGGAGGGAATGTGTTCTCTTTCTGGGTCCACAAGGGGGCGTAGTTTTAAGGGCAAGAATTTCCCAGTGCCATGCCCCTCTCCCATCTCTCTCCTTCTGGGATATTTAACAGTTTATGTTTAAATTTCATGGGCAAGTGAAGAAACAAAAAGTCAATCACTCCAGCATAAGTTCTAAGGAACTCCTTTCATTGGCCCAAGGTCTTAGAGAAGGTAATGGTTCCTCCCAGGTTAAAAGTCCCCTTCTCCCACACCCCTTTGGACTCCATGTTTGGGTCCCCTTCCACGAACACTCCCTTAGTGGAAGCCATCTTTCTCTCTCCTGGATTTCCCCTCTGGAGTTCCCTTCCACACTCTCTGGAGGAAAACTGTCTTCCCCTCCTAAGCTCCATCTATCTCTATTCCCTTCCACTCAGTGTGGAAGCTGCTTTCCTCTCCTGGATTCCATCTTTCTGGATTCTCTCACTTAGTGTGAGAGTTAGCTGTTTCTCTCTCTTTCTCCTGTTTCTCTCTCTCTTTAAATAAAATCACTTTCTACAAACACTTTTGAGTCTGGCATTTACTGTGCACTGTGTTGTGGTCCCCTCTCTTATTCTTGAGAGGGCAGGAGACCAAGAACCTGGAGGAACATCCTCTCAGGGGAGCTGAGGGCACCCTGAACCCCAGTATTACAACAGGAAGAGTACAGACTGTAAAGAATGAGGTATTATGTTGTAAAAATTGCTTTGGAAAATGACAGAATGCCCAGCTTATCATAAAAAAGAGTGACAAAGTAGTAATACCATATGATAAGCAATATTTCAAAGATGGTGGTAGGAAGAAAAAGGCCATCATTTCTTAGAAAAGCCTAGGTGTAAAAAAATGCTAGATTTGCTAAATGATGTTTATATTTTATAGTTAGACATTCTCTAAACCAAACAAAATAACCTTCATATGGACATTTCTGGAAGTACTACTACAGTGGGACTTAAATTCTCTAGTCCCTGGTCCCTCTTTCCCCTCTGAAAAAAAATCGCATCTATAATGTGTTCTTTTTCTGCCCTATTATTTAAATTGAGAATGTGAACCGTACAGACATTATAGAAAATGTGGAAATTAGTCAAAAAATTAGAATTACCATCTGACCCAGCAATTCCACTGATGGGTATATATCCAAAGGAAGTGAAATCAGTATCTTGAAGTGATATCTACACTCCCATGTTCATTTTAGCATTACTCATAATAGCCAAGATACAGAAACAACCTAGGTGTCCATTAGTGAATGAATGGACAAAGAAAATGGGTGTGTGTATGTGTGTGTGTATGGAATATTCTTCCACAGTAGAATTTTTTCAGCCATAAAAAGATGGAACTCCTGCCATTTGTGAAAACATGGATAATTAATGAACAATTACTGCTAAGTGATATAACCAGGATACAGAAAAACAAATACTATATGATTTCACTTACGTGGAACCTAAAAAAGTCATACTCAGAGCAGACTAGAATGATGGTTGCCAGGGGCCAGAATATGGGGAAAAGGGGAGATCTCGGTCAAAGGGTACACATCTACTATTAAAATAGATGCATGTGCTATGTAATACTCATTGGTTTTACCTCATTCCTGAAGTACTCTGCACATCTAAGATGTGCCTATGACCCTGTCTAAGGAAATATGTGGATTACTCATTGTTTCAGCATCCGTTCTTTGCAGCAATTAGTTGGGGAATATTATTAACTATTTCTGAGAAATTGTGACCCTCAAAAGAATTTAGTGGCCTCACTGGCTCACACCTATAATCCCAGCACTTTGGGAGGCCAAGGTAGGTGGATCACCTGAGCCCAGTAGTTTGAGTCTAGCCTGGGCAACATAGCAAAAACCTGTCTTTATAAAAAATACAAAAACTAGCCAGGCATGGTGGTGTGCGCCTGTAGTCTCAGCTACTCAGAAGGCTGAGGTGGGAGGATTGCTTGATCCTGGGAGGTGGACGTTGCAGTGAGTAATGATCGTGTCACTGCAGACTCCAGCCTGGGTGACAGAGCAAGACTCTGTCTCAAAGAAAAATCGTAGAAATTTTCAGTTATAAGATAAATAACATATTATTATAACTTACAAATCAAAGGACTTAATGTATACATGGTGACTATAGTTAATAATACTGTATTGCATATTTGAAATTTTCTAAGAAAGTAGATCTTAAATGTTCTCACTATACAAAGGTAACTTTGAAGTGACAGATGTGTTAATTAGCTTGACTGCTGTAATCATTTTACAGTGTATATTAGATCATCACAATGTATACCTTAAATATATATCATTTTTATTTGTCAATTATAAAGAAAGTTCTTGATCATTAAGGAAGCTGAATATCCTGCTATATCTACCTCAAGATGAGAAGGGGGAAAAAAGCACAATAGCTAACACAACACTCCAAGTTGTGTTTTAAGTGCTTTTCAAATATTAAACTCATGTAATTCCCATAACAATCCTGTGACTAGGCACTATTACCATCATTAATCTCCACCTTATATTAATAGATGGGGAGACTAAGTGATAGAGAAGTAACTTGCTTTAAGGGCATGTGGCAGAGCTGAGATTTGAACTCAGGTAGCCTACCACCAGGCTGCATGCTCTTTGCCAGGAGGCTGTGCTTCCTCTGTAATGAGGTGGCTTTTCCCTCCCAACTCAGTCTATCACTGGGCACAAAGCCACTGCATCAGCTGTCCTCCAAATTTAAAATTCAGGCATAATCTTTGATGAAGCTCCACCTTTAGAGTTTCTATTCACACTACCAAGTCCTAAGAATACCAAAACACTCATAAGTGATTTGGCCCAAAGCAAACTGTTCCACATTACTACTTGGTAAAAAATGAAAAGCCCCTTTGTGAATTTTCACACTCTGGACGTTTTAGTATGTCATGACCCAGTCTGATAACCTTTTAAGTTTCTTAAGCATTTTGTTGTGTTTTTAACTTTTTTCTCCCTAATTCATTTTCACTGTCCTGCAAAGAGTTAGAACAGATTAAATGTCTAACAATTTGTGGATTGCCTAAATATTTGCAGGTATGTATAGTATGATCCTATTTTATAATTCTCTTTTTATCTACCAATCCCTATTGATCAATTTCTAAAAGAAGGTGGTAGCAAAGTGTATCAAAGGCTAGCAATAAAAACCATCCTCAGCAATAATCTTTTGCTGCATAATCATCTATAATTTTTTAATTCATTACATTTCCTATACTATCTACAAACTAAATTCTTGTGAGGGTCACAATTTCTCAAAAATAGTTAATAATATTCCCCAACTAATTGCTGCAAAGAATGGGTGCTGAAAGAATAAGTAATCAGCGTATTTCCTTAGAATAGGCACATCTTAGATGTACAGAGTACTTCAGGAATGAGGTAAAACCAATGAGTATTACGTAGCACATGTATCTATTTTAACAATGCAGTAAGTACTTTGACAGGAAAGCACAGGGGCTGAGATGCACCTGGTCCTGGGGAGAAGTGGGAGGGAAGGCCAGTTACCATTCCAAGGAGGTGACACAGGAGCTAAGACTGGTAGGATGGGTAGGAGCTAGTGGGGAGAAACAGTAGGGAAAGAGCATTTTGACACACACACTGGTCAAACTGTAAGTATAGAAGAAAAAAATGCAATCTTTGATTTGATTTTACCTTGTAAAACACTTCTTTCTCTAAGACTAGTAATAATTTATAGTAAACCAACAGATAATGCATGGGGATAAAATACTTTTTATATTTTTATATATATATATATATATAATTGAGATTGGTAGAAGGTTAGAAAGGTTTTTTGTTTTTGAAACAGAGTCTCAAAAACAGGCTGGAGTGCAGTGACACCATCCTGGCTCACTGCAGCCTTCACCTCTTGGGTTCAAGCAATTCTCATGCCTCAGCCTGCCGAGTAGCTGGAATTACAGGCATGCACCATCATGCCAGGCTGATACTTGTATTTTTAGTAGAGATGGGGTTTTGCCATGTTGGCCAGGCTAGTCTTGAATTCCTGGCCTCAAGTGATCTGCTTTGGCCTCCCAAAGTGCTGGGATTACAGGCATGAGCCACTGCACCCAGCCAGAAAGTTTAACACTGGAAAATTCTGTAGCTTCCTGCAAGATTGATACATCTTATTAAGAAACTCAGAAATTGGTCTTACCACACCACTCTTAAAGTTCTCAATCCTTTTCTTCCCCATCTTGTTGGTTATCCACCAGGCCCAGGTTGGCATGTATTGCCACAAATATACTACTGCCAAGAAAGGATGTTCTGAAATCCAAACTTCTTTCAAATCATTAGCCATGCTGATTAACATCAGCCGCACACAACGACTGGTTGCCATCTTGTAGGATTGATCTCCACCATTGCCTATAGTCTAAGAAAATTTAAAAATTAAGTGAATTTATCCATGCAATTTCACAGAACTTTAAGCTAGAAAGAACTCAAATGCCATCTAGTTGAGTGGTTCCTTTAGTGGAGCTTCATGCCCCTTAGAAGTCTCAATAGGTACTAATGGAAGTTTATAAACTATTTGTAGTATTTCAAAAAGCCTAACAGAAACCGCATGCTTACCAGATAATACAGTGCAGGCTAACTAAAAGATGAAGATTCTTTCCTTTTAATTAGAATTGCATAACCTTAATGTGCTTAATGACAATTATCACTTTAGTAATAAAAATCAAACTATTAATGCATTTAGCACATGAAATTCCATAAACAATTTTCATAAAGGCAGGAGTTGTTTTGTGAATAATTCACAAAAAAGCAGTTCTAAGACAAAAACCCTGATACACGGTGATAAAACACCAATACGTAAAACTAATATATAACTAGTAAACATTCAAATTATTCCCAACTAGAAATTTTTACCTTTGTGACTTCTCCAGCTAGGGAATTCGCCACAATATTTGATTGCACAGGTCCCGGGCAAATGTTAGAAACTATTATACCTGGGTATGTGGCAAGTTCTGTTCGAAGGCCATTAAAAAAACCCTAACAGGCCAAAAGAAAAAAAAGAAGAAGAAAGACAAATAAATACAGACACATATCTCATGATTTATCAAAATATGTTCTAAAATTTTCGAGTAAAGGACAGGTGGAGTAATCATGCAAGCTTATTAGGTACTTTCAACTGTAGGCTGGAGGCAATCTACAACAAACATTCTCAGCTCTTTCCAGGTGTAAATGGTTCACCCCCTTTGATAGTGATATCTCTTGACACCAATTATTTTTATGGTAAGCATGCACTAGATAGGTAAAAAACTATCCCTGAAGATTCTGATATACCCTTTTCATACCAGTCCTTCCCTCCCCACTCCAAAAAGGGTGTATGTCCTCCACTAAGAATGACTGAGGTCGGGTTTCTATTTATTCCCCACAGTGGTCTAAAGTTCCAATGTTTGGGGCAAAGGTAAGGAAGATGGGATTAGTACTTCACAGAAAGTATCACAAGGAATGAATTCAACTTTTTCCATTTATGTTACTATTTTAACAATTCATTTCAGTAAACATTTATCTTTTTGGGGTAATAAGGGTATATGCTAATTAAAAATGTAATATGATTGCCTACTGAATGACTTATTGAAACAGACTACAGTATACCCTCTAGACTTAAAGATACTGGCCATTTCTAAACCAATGGGGGTAAACAAATCTACTGCCTCTCATCTCTTCCTAAATTAGGAAATGTTCCAAGACATTGTTATAAGGCTGAGTTATCTATTGAAAAGCCTGAATAGCTAACCCACAGTACATCTGTATATGATCCAAAAATATTAAACAGTTATCAGCCCTGAAATGCTGACCCCAACAAACGGGCTATGAGGATTTATGATCAGACACTGATACAGTGCCTGACTCAACAATGACCACACACACACAAAAATGCTGGGTAAATGAATGGAAAACTCACATAACTTTAATGTTCTGCCTCTCTGTAGCAAAAGAGGAGAGAGAGGACACCAAGCAAGCCAATGCATCAGATACTAAAACCTCTCTTTGTTTGAAATCACATGTACCATAGTGTGTAAACTTTTCAATGATAAACAATTTAATTCTGTAGCTTACTGAGAATCTGAGAAGGAAATGTGCTCTTCAAAAAAAGCTTCCTGGTAAGTCTCAACCTGCCACATTTTATCATAGTATCAAATCTAGTAATAAAATAGAGTCTTGGAGGGCAGGCCAGACAGCTCATCTGTGTTTACTGAAAGCATTCTGCATAACTTAAAAGATACATGGTGCCAAACAGATGGGTGGGTGTCCTCCCTCATCTGCCTGCCTGAGGCTTGCCCAACTGCTCTACAGGAAGTGAGTGATGCCCGTTACTAAATATGAGGAAATCATCAGTATAGCATTCTGCTGCATCACTCTCTGCAGTGGTCTACACTTTGCAGCAGAAAAAAGATGTCCTAAAGAACCAAAACAAAATTTTCATGAAACCACGATGACCATGTAGCTACTGGATCTCATTATTGCAACAGTGAAATATTCTACTTAAACTGACTTCAACAGCATTAAATATACATTTTGTGAATTATTTAATCATTCTCTTCCTATTGGCCTTATTATTTCTTTATATCCGGTCTGAAGCCACCATTAAAAATTCATCCATTTCTAATATTTATACCTCGTAAGTTATGCAATCCAAATCAAGCTTTTTTCCTTGCCTCTGCCTTGACTAGATTTTCTTCTTCCAATGAAACCAGAGTGAATACAGTCAAAAGTTTTCCATATCCAGTAGGGATATGAGACCAGGAATAATCATCCCGTGGGATGTACCTGTTTCTGACATGCATATATAATTAGACCAGGCAAAATAAACACCAACTACAAGGGGGAAGGAAAAGAAGTCACAGAAATGGTGAGGGAAAAGTACATCCTGAAATGTATGTAGAAGAAAGGAGAAGTAGACCCCAATTTTCCATGAAGATGTGGTAGGAATAAGGGTAAGGTGAAGAGTGACATGTTAACTAGATGATACACTTTCTGAGGGCAGAAATCATAGCTTTTCATCTTAATATCCCCAGGGTCTGTTGTAGTGCATGGCACAATGCAGTGCTTGATACCTATTTGTTCACAAGTTAGAGGCATGTGTGGATCAAGTCTTTTTTAGCATCTACTGGGGACATCCTCTACCAAAGGGCCCCTTAGGTCTCTGTCTCCCCACATCACTTCCCAGTTCCAAGGGCCTCACACAGTGATGGCAATATCCCCATATACACACTTAAGTCAGTTCTATCAGAGTTGAGTTTGAGCAGCCTTACCCGAAGAGCATGCTTGCTGGCACAGTATCCACTGGAAAGGGGTGCAGCTATGATACCCAGGAGGCTATTCACAGTAACAATCTTTCCTTTCTTCCTCTCGATCATGTAAGGCAGAACACACTTTGTCAAGGACACCGTCCCTAAGTAGTTAAGCTCTATTAGCTTTCTGTAGACATCCAAGCTGGTATCCATGCACAAAGAACGCTGGGATATTCCACCATTGTTGACCAAAATGTCGATCTAGTTAAATAAAATCAGAAAAGGGGCATTTGGGGGATGTCCTGTGGATAGATTGATGGAATTCCTAGGGATAGTTGGTTATATTGTTAATGTGAAGAATCAGTGGCACAATGGTATATTTCCAGAAGTCACCAATTAAAAAGATAAAAGCCTGAATTTACCTGTGGAATTAAATTCCTATTTTAGGTGACTTTTTATGACAGTTAAAAATTGTCATAAAAACAAAAGCAGCCAGCCGGGTGTGGTGGTTCACACCTGTAATCTCTGCACTTTGGGAGGCTGAGCTGGGCAGATCACAAGGTCAGGAGTTCAAGACCAGCCGGACCAACATAGTGAAATCCTGTCTCTACTAAAAATACCAAAATTAGTTGAGCGTGATGGCGCACGCCTGTAATCCCAGCTACTCAGGAGGCTGAGGCAGGAGAATCGCTTCAACCCAGGTGGTGGAGGTTACAGTGAGCCGAGATTGCACCCCTCTGCACTCCAGCCTGGGCAACAAAGCGAGACTTCGTCTCAAAAAAAATAAATAAAAGCAGCCGTGAATTTTTAGCTTCTTTTGTGCTACATGAAGGAATTTGTACTTGTTAAGACATGAATAGTACTAATTCTATAACGCCAAAGACTCAGAAATTAAGGGCCCTAATTCACAGGCCTGAACTCACTGCATGGACCCCACTTGCCCAAAGCCCTTTGTATGATAGGACCATGGATGGGAATCTCTTCTGCAGTTACTTCAAAGCAAGTCTGTATCAATATAAGATGCTACTTACTCTGCCAAACTCCTGGAGAACAGCTTTAGTAGCCACTTCATGGGAACCAGTGTCGGTCAGGTCAAGGGGCAAAACCAGTATATCTTTTTCTTTTAAATTGCTATTCTCTAAATAAAGACAAAAATTTGTGTAGAAGTCATTCCAAAGTTCAATCAAGCTCCTTGCTGCTCCCATTAACACCCCACCCTGCAACAGGAGTGGCAACAAACTCATTTCTGGGTGGCCCTGTGAAAGTTCCTCTCAGTGGTCAGGAAGAAGACTAGTGGTGATATGACAACCTCTTATCAGACAAAAAGCTGGCTGGCCTCACAGGAAGTAGAATGGCACACTTCAACTTGAATATACAGTCTAACTTTACAGCTTGATTTCTGGCAGAAATCAAAATTATACTACAAACTATAACAAAAATTTTAGAGCAATTTCTTTAGAAGTACAGAGGTTCCTTTGTCTGTGATAGGCTCACAAAGTTGAATTGCTCTTCTACACACAAAACAGCTATTTGTGCTTAAAATCAGTAAGAAGCTCAGAGTCCTACCATCAAATGACATATAGAAGCTTCTCTCCAGAAGCTAAGGATTCCTGGAGGTAAACAGGGAAAAGGACACAAGCCTGCAATTACCAACCAAGAAACATGCTGCTGAGTTGTAACTGGCTGTTTCTGTTCATCAGAAGAACAACTGAAACTAATTTTCCTGGACTCTAACCATGAAATACAAATAACATCAGAAAGAAAAGCAAACAAGTATAGAAAATATAACAGGTAAAAAGACTTCATGAGCAAAAGGGTTAATTGTGAAACATTAACCATATTAAATGAAAACGTTTGCGCTAGAGATCTTCAAGATAAAAGGAAAACAGCCTTGTGCCAGGTAAGAAATGCTGACATAGTTCATCTACTCCACCAGCACAGGACTTGCAAATCACAGCAGCAGAGGAGCAACTACCAAAGGAAGTGGCCCAGTGCAAAAACACAACAGGCCTTTGAAAGCAGTATCAGGAAAGAGGACTTGTGGCCCTACTAAGCACTACTGTGGCAGCTAACTCTCATTTCTGGGTGGTTACCTCAATCAGCAAAGTTAAAGATTTAAAAGAATGACAGGTAGACAGATGACCCAAAAAATGGTCTGTTGGAAAATTCAAAATTAGTTTAGGTATTATTAATAAATGTTCCATAAAAAATAACTTTATTACTTGAGGTTGCTTTCAATGTGAACATAATGGCTGGGCGTGGTGCCTCACACCTGTAATTCCAGCATTTTGGGAGGCTGAGGTGGGCAGATCACCTGACGTCAGGAGTTCGAGCTCAGCCTGGCCAACATGGCGAAACCCCATCTCCACTAAAAATACAAAAATTAGCCGGGTGTGGTGGTGCACTTCTGTGGTCCCAGCTACTCAGGAGGCTGAGGCACAAGAATCGCTTGAACCTGGGAGGCGGAAGTTGCAATGAGCCAAGATTGTACTCTAGCCTGGCCAACAAAGTAAGACTCCATCTCCAAAAAAAAAAAAAAAAAGTGTACATAGCAATACCAAAACTCAAACAAAAATATTAACACTGGCCCTTTATGTCAATATGAAAGTATTACCTCAAGTTGTATTTTTTTAAACCAAATTCCATTTCTGTTCTTTTATCCTATATAAGTCTTATCCCATATGATTTTAATATCTGATACTTTAATGAGTAAGGATTCTTCCTAACTTCTATAATCAGATACATGTATGTCATGGATAAGAACCCAACTGTTCTGTCTCTAAGACAAAAATATAAGTCACTTGGTCACTAAAAATCCACCAGCATTTGATAGACTGTTGGTCACTCCCTAAGGCCAGGAGTCAGTACAAAAAAAACCATAGAAAGGTGGCAAAAAAGAAGAAAAAGGCAAGGGCAGCCAATTAAGACAAAAAGTAGAGGATGTGAGATGAAGCACTTAGAGCATTTGGGAAATCTTAGAGCTGGGAGAAATCTCTTTCCTCTCTAAAAGTCCCAAACTGTATTTGAGTTTGGATTCTGATTTTATTTCTAGGAAACACTGTTGCTATTTCAGATCTGCTTACCTAGGCATCTTCTTTTCACCCTTTCCAGCTCAGGTACTCTTCTGGCTGACAGCACAAGAGAAACTCCTAGTTTAGACAGCTGGTAAGCCAGCTCCTCACCAATTCCACTCGAGGCTCCAGTCACCCACACCACCATATCAGTCAACTCCCATTCTATGGAAGGAGTGGCAATGAAAGGAATAAAATAAGCAATGAATTACACTCATAAATCAAAGATTAGAAAAAAAAGAAAAAAGAATAAAAAAGAAAGCCTTAAACAGTACCGCTAAATATGAGGACATAATGTATGGAGCTTAAAATCTGAAATAGCCTAAGAAAACATTTCCTTCTTAATTAAAAAAAGCATTAATATAAATCATATTAGTAACAGCTATAAGTATTTATATATTCCAGAACCTTCCTGACTTTTCCAGACTCTACTTCAAGGCAAGCTTTATAACCCCATGGTTTCACTCCAAGGCTCTATTTATCTATGACAAACAGATAAGATAAGTAGATAAATAGGCTAAGTAAATAGTCACTGTCTGGATAAACTTCCTTTGCCATTAAATGAGAGATTCAGATTAGATGATGGCTGAAGCTCCCATCCAGTTTTTAATTCTATTATTCTAATATTTTGCAATGGAGGTTGATGAAGAATCTAAATAGATCAAGTTCTGTGCTGTTGATGAAACATCCTAGATTTTTAAAGTAATAATTTCCCCATTTGCCAATCATGCCTGATGCCTATCAGCTCAAGGTCATTTTGTAAAAGTGCTCCCCAGATGCCTGAGCTTTTATCTTAGGAGAATATAGTAATTCACCCAAGAACAAATGCATATTACAGAAAGATGGAATATTACCCTCTGCTTGTCCAATTATGTTCCTTTTAAAGACTAAAACTGTTATAGTACTAAAGCAATGACAAATGGTTTATTCTTTTCTCTAATGAAAAACTTGCACTGCAAGAGACTATATTCACTGTCTCTCGAACCCATAAAGTCACGATTATGTAGCTCCTGTGTGCCTTATTTATTAAAATATATGTTATTCATCAAAAATATCAAACAAGTATCACTTAACATCACATTTTTGATTTTAGATCAGAAAAGTTAAAATCAGGAAATGACTATACTGTTTCAAACAGCTCTAAATCCTCAAATGCCAGTTCCATCACACACAGCACTGAAATGCTCCCAGGTGAGAACTCAGTGCTTTAATTTTCCACAACTGGAAACGTGATGAATAAGAATTAAGGCACTGGATTGTTGAGAAATGGAACACCCAACTGTTTCTTAGACATTCAAGAAAATACCCCTTGTCCTTAGGAAAAAGTTTTCATGTAAATGGGTTAAAACATGGAAAGCATTCAGAGCAGTATACAGCACATACTCAGTGTTTAATAAATGTCAATTATAAGTATTGCTTAAGTTTTTAAATAGATGGACTTTACTACAGAAAAACATATACAACAGTCACTTAATAAAATATGTCTTCTAACTTATCCAGTTGGGGAAATGGGGTTACTAATTCTAATGGCGTAACATTTTTACATTACTTCCTTGTACTTAAGACATTATCTATTAAAAGTTTCACCAGAACTGTATGAAAAAGTATTATTATCTCAGTTTTACAGAAAAGGTAACTGAGGTTTACAGAGATTAATTTGTCCCCACCAGACAGTAGATTCCATTAAGTGTAGGATCCTGTCTACGTTGTTCATTGCTCAGTGCCTAGCAAGGAGTGGAATATTGAAAAGGCTCCATAAATAACTACTGAATAAACAAACACCCAAGAACCCTGGCAGAGCTGGGATATAAGCCCAGGTATATCTAGCTCCAAAGCCCACAATGTCCACTATTTCATGATATACACATTTAAATATGACTAACATTTTAAAACCCAACTGTTTCTTAGACATTCAAGAAAATACCACTTGTCCTTAGGAAAAAGGTTTCATGTAAATATCTCAACTAAGTCCTGGTACAGTGGCTCACACCTGTAATCCCAACACTTTGAGAGGCCAAGGCGGGTGGAACACTTGAGGCCAGGAGTTTGAGACCAGCTTGGCCAACATGATGAAACCTGGTCTCTACTAAAAATACAAAAATTAGCTGGTTGTGGTGGCACACACCTGTAATCCCAACTACTCAGGAGGCTGAGGTGCAAGAATCACTTGAACCTAGGAGGCAGAGGTTGCAGTGAGCCAAGATCGCACCCCTGCACTCCAGCTCTGTCTAAAAAAAAAAAAAGAAAATCTCAACTAAGGTTGGAAACATCCCAAATACTATGTCTGGGCTACAATGCTGTCCTCTCATATAATGTACTTTTGTGAAAAGGCACAATTGAGCAACCTTCCTATAGGACTTTATCAAGAGCAACATAACAACTACTCAGATAATCATTTATTCAATAATTGATTACTTGTTCCCAAGTGCTGCAATAATCAGACTCTAAAGTGAATATCATTTGTTTTAGAACCAAAGGATTTACTAACTAGCCTCGAGCTAACAAAGACTTTGATACTTATACAAATAAGCAAATATTATTTAAAGCTGACAATGTAAACCTTTTATACAGTCACAGTTATGGCCCCGTTCTCCCACCCTGAAGAAACTTTTTTATTTAGCACCATTTGTTTCCCGATTCCACTGAATTTGGTATATATAATGGCCTCCCTTAAGGAACCCCTGAAACTAGATTCTTAGAGTTGAAAGGAAAGTGATAGTTCAACTCCTACTCCAGCTTGAGAATTCTCTTCTCAAGCCCTTGACCATCTCTAATTTCCACACAGGATGAGGAAGCTAATTATCTCTGAAGCTTTAGCTCCTTTTTCGGGAAAAGAGAAAGATCCCTTTTTCATTCAAGGGATCTTTTTTATATTGATGTGATAAGCAATCAGCAGCAGTGGGCAGTAATCTTGCCTTGTGGTTCAACAAAAAAGAAGTCAAACTTCTAGTGTCAGTGGGTCCAAGTGTCCAGCCTGAGGCATCCTCCTCATCCCTCCTTCTCCCAGCACCTCAAACATTCATCAAGGATTTTGTATTCAAGGCCCAAAAGTTTGTTACCCAAGATGACAAATATTGACATGGATGCAGTTGATCCTGAAAATCATGTGGAAATGGAGGAAAAACACAGCTTATTAATCAAATGTTGGAACTCCAACATACATTTGAAGATCTCTCTGTAAGAGGACATGCAGTTACGGAAGAAAACCTCAAGCTAAAATCAGAAAACCAAGTTCTTGGACGGTACACAGGAGACTTTATGTCAGCTCCTAGTGTTTTTCAAACAACTGACACAAAAAAAAAAACAAAAGGAAATACAGAATTGAAGCCCTTCTGTTTTATGGAATTGCTGCTGAACTTTCTTTAAACATTGGACAGATTTCAAAAGTGATAGTACCTCTGTTTGTGGTTTCATTGAATATTTATGAAGCTAAAGTCAGATGTAGGCAACATTCATAGCGCAACAGGAGACTTCCATAAGTGTTTGTATTATGTCACTCTATGAGAATGTGCAAATGTATTGGAGACTTAATTAGAATTGCACATATTTATGACACTTAAAGATGAATGTTTTATCAAATTTGCTCTGATTTGTGGCTTTAGCCCTGTCTTTTATTATAGGCTTAGTAAGATATACAAGAAAATAACCATCACGCTGTGAAAAAGTACCACAATCAGGAACTGGCTGTACAGCTTCAGGTACCATGTCCATTTTCTTGATTCCCTTCTCTACTGGCTTCTTCCTTCCTATCTCCCCTCCCCTAGGGAAAAATTGGTTTCACTTTTGTAAAAGCAGTTTTAATACTTAATCATCTCTGAGAGTTAACTGCACTTTAATTGTCGAAACTTAACCAAATGAAGATATTTTCTCATCTAGGGCTTCTCATTTGTGATATTTAGTACTAAGATAGAATTGCTGGTTTCTCTTTAATCAGTTGAAAACAAAAAGAAGCTATAGAAACGAAGATTTTTCATTGAAACTGAATTGTCAATCTGGGAAGACTTGGCTGGGTACGGTGGCTCATGCCTGTAATCCCAGCACTTTGGGAGGCCAAGGCAGGAGGATCACCTGAGGTCAGGTGTTAAAGACCGGCCTGACCAACATGGCAAAACCCCATCTCTACTAAAAAATATAAAAATTAGCCAGGCGTGGTAGCAGGCACCTATAATCCCAGCTACTCAGGAGGCTGAGGCAGGGAGAATTGCTTGAACCTGGGAAGCAGAGGTTGCAGTGAGCTGAGATCATGCTACTGCATTCCAGCCTGGGCAACAGAGCGAGACTGTCTCACACACACAAAAAAAGCAAAGCAAAACAAAAAAACCAACCTATCTTTTTGTATAAAATAACCTAGTTGGTATCTGAAAAGATATAAATTCTGCTCATGTGTGTGTTTAAAATAGAAAAGCTTAAGGAAAAATAGAAATGGGGGGGAAAGTACTTGGTAAATACAACAGTAACCAACTCCAAATATTTTCACTCCAGATTTGTGTATCTCTGGCACAAAGTAGATCTTTTGGGAAACATCTGAGAGTAGATCAAGCTTGACTAACCTTTTTTTTGGTGGGGGTTGGTGGGGACAAGTTCTGGTTCTATCACCTAAGCTGTTTGCAGTGGCATGATCTTGGCTCCCTGCAACCTCCACGGCTCAGGCTCAACCCAACCTCCCACCTCAGCCTCCCAAGTAGTTGGGACTACACGTGTGTACCGTGATGCCCAGCTAATTTTTTTGTGTGTATTTTTTTGTAGATATGTGGTTTTGCCATGTTGCCCAGGCTGGTCTTGAATTTGTCAGCTCTAGTGATCTGCCCACCTCAGCCTCCCAAAGTGCTGGGATTACAGGTGTTAGCCACTGCGCCCAGCCAAGTTTGACCACATCTGCAAGAGAACAGTTACAAAGAGTTTGGTCTCAAGGTTTATTTCTACTCAGCAGATCAACTGTTGCAAAATTCCTTAAGAATGTATTAGTATCAGAATTGTGAAAAATGGGAGAGTTTTAGATGTATACTTATTGATAATCTTGTTCAGTTTTAGCCTACTTGTTCTCCCAGAATTTTTTGTAAACTCAACTACTCAGTTTACAGAGTTTTAGTCATCCTTTAACAATTTTTAAAAATTCGGTTTGTAGATTCGATTTGTTAAGGGAATCCATATCAGAAGTAATACTAAAATGTTATAATAGGAAAAGGGATCCACTAATATAGCTTATGGTTTTTAGAGCTGGGCTACTTTTAATCATGGAATAATCTTATGTATAGGTGTAAGAATGACTCACTATATGAATACATAGTCATACTGCAAACATTTTGTATCCCTTTTGTGACCTAATTTATAGACACTTAAATTGTGTTAGAACTCTGCTTTCTTGTTTTATGAAAAGCTGTTTCAGGAAGAAAAGAAATCAAATCTGTCTTCCAAATGACAATCCCTCACCGCTGTTAAGGAAGACAGCCATTATGTCTTCCCTAAGTCCTTTCATCTCTTGCTTCTCTAAGGCTAAATAAACCTATCCAATTTCTGCTACCTTCCCTCACAGGACATGGAATCAGATTTCCTTACTCTTCTGCTCACACCCACCTGCACTAATTCTAGTTGGTCAATGTTCCTGTTTGTTAAAGGGAGCTGACTAGGGCAGCACACAGGATTCCGTAGGGTTTGGACAGTGCAGAGCAGGATGAGATGACAAAAATCACTTCTCTTGTCCCCCAGAAGGTAGGGTCTATGAGGGCCTGGACTATGGCTGGCTCAGTCACTGCAGTGTCCCCAGTACCCAGCTCAGAGTTCGGCACATACAAGCAGCTACTCAGGAGACACCCCGTTGTTTGCAGTTGTTGCTTCAGACACTGAAGTCTACAAATGCGACCCAAGGATGCCTAATCTTTTCTGGTAGCCACTTCACAGTTGATTCCTATTAAGGTTACTGTAAACAAATACCTGAACTTTGCTCACATGTGCTGCTGTTGAAATTTTTCTTCCTCTAGACTGTGCCATGGACTTTTCTGGACCATTTGAATGTCTAAAATTAGTCACCCTTATATTTCAGCATGCATGGCTGGGCTCAGTGGCTCACATCTCTTATCCCAGCACTTTGAGAGGCAAGGCGGAAGTGGTCCTTCTGCCTTGGCCTCTCAAAGTGCTGGGATAAGAGATGTGGAGAGGAGGGATAAGAAGAGGCCAGGAGTTCAAGACCAGCCTGGCAATATAGTGAGACCCTGTTGCTACAAAAAGTTTAAAAATACCCAAGTGTGGTAGTTTGCACCTGTAGTTTTAGCTACTGGGGAGGCTGAGGTGAGAGGATTGCTTGAGCCCAGGAGTTCAAGGCTGCAGTGAGCTATGATCATGCCACTGTACTCCCACCTGGGTGACAAAGCAAGATCCTTTTTATTTAAAAAAAAAATTTTTTTTTCACCTTGTGAGATGTGTGCTTGGAAATGCACAAAATTTCTCTCGACAGATACAGAGGAGGCAGGAAATGGTGGCTGCCTCCAAAGAGGCATACTAGGTAGCTGGGCATAAGGGTCAGAGAAGGCTCTTTACTTTTTACTATATATTTTTTGTATTTTTTACTTTTGTATTACATTAGTGTGCTATTTTTTTTAAGTGACCAAAAAATAATAAACTTACAGAGAAGTCAAGAAGGATATTTTCTTTTTTTTCTTTTTTCATCTTCATAGTCTGCCCGTCTCTCCAGTGTGAGCTGTTTTGGGAATCTGAGTCTATTTCAATTTTCCTTTAATCTTCTCTTTTTTCTCATTCCCTACCTCCACCAGGAGTCTTTTTAGACTTTTTTTCCCCTAAAAGTCTCCTATGAAATGTTAATTCCATAGATATAATGTATATCATTTATGTATTATAAATATATCTGTGCTTTATACATAAAAGGAGTTCTGTAAAACTTACTGCTGCCGGGCTTGGCGGCTAATGCCTGTAATCTCAGTACTTTGGGAGGCCAAGTGGGGCAGATCACCTGAGGTCGGGGTTCAAGGCCAGTCTGACCAACATGGCAAAACCCCAGCTCTACTAAAAATATAAAACTTAGCCAGGCGTGGTGGTGCACACCTTTAATCCTAACTACTCGGGAGACTGAGGCAGGAGACTCACTTGAACCCGGGAGATAGAGGTTGTAGTGAGCTGAGATCACACCACTGCATTCCAGCCTGGCCAACAGAGCGAGACTCCGTCTCAAAAAAAAACACAACAACAAAAAAAAACAACAACAAAAAACTTACTCCATAATGTAAACATATGACTAAATTTTTAAATTATGTTAAACATTAAATTAAAATTTAAAAATTAACATCTAACTTTATAACTGTATTTGCTGAAAAATACAGTTATGATTTTTATGATCTTTGAGAACAGTGTCTCACTAGGCTGGTCTTGAACTCCTGGGCTCAAATGACCTTAAAAACATAACCTCCAAAGTAGTTGGGATTACAGGTACATGCCACCACGCCAGATTTTTACTGAATAACTTTTACGTAACTTATTTATTTAAATAGCAATTTATCAAACTGCATGTGCAAATTTGCAAATTATATAACTACAAAATGATAGCAATATAACTAAATTTAAAATCCTTTAAACTGTTCTTTTCCAGCAAAAGACAACTGAAAACATTAAATAATTTTCTTAAAATTTTCAATGATCTTAACTTTTAACTTTTCCTTAATATGAGAAAATAACTTTTAGTAGTTTAGGTATTCATTCAGATGTTGTCAATAGTTTTCCTTTTTAGGACTTGACATAATTTGATGGGTTGAATATTTTTTGTAGGATTAAATAATAAAATATAATCTATTTTCATTTAATTCTCCAAGTCCAAGTGAACCCAAAAGCACTAAGGATCAAACACAAACAACATCTCCAAGGCAGCATAGCAGCCAACAGGCACGCACATTCCCCCACTGAGATGCAGCAATCAATCAAGAGAAAGTCCATGGTTAATGAAGTTGTGCAGTATTTGGGATTCCTGCTTTAAAAGGAGAAAGCCCAATCGCTTGCCATAGTTTTGTAGCACTGCTGTCACGCCTGCGTTGTGTATTTTCTGTGACCTCAATGTCAATGCTGCACATGCTATACCCAAGAAAACCCAATCAGAAAAATGAAATACTAAGGAATAACATTTTCTTGGGTAGGGTTAAGCTTTGGAGGGGCACAAACCACTGTATTAGCAGATTTTTTTTTTTTTTTTTTTTTTGGTCCACTAGAACCAATTCTCACCTTGGGATCAATATCGCCCCCCTCAATGCCCAACCCATACCGCCCCCCCTCAACATAGTCTTTATTTTAAGCTACTGTCTCTTCCAAGCAAACTTTGTAACATGCTTTGAGTATTTTTATACCAGAAACTTGGTTCAGGGAAACCTTACTTACCCAACTCCTTAAGGATCCAAAGCCTAGCTTTCAGTAGGTCATTTAATTTATCTGAACATCAGTTTCCCTATCTGGAAAAGAAGACTAATAACGCCTGCCTTTTAAGAATTGTTGTAAAGGTTAAAGGCTTTGTGTGTAAAACGCTGAGCACACAGCCAACATACAGCAAGTATACACGATGTCAAATACGAAGCAAGGCACAGACAAAAGTGGGACAGGCAGTATGCCAATATTGATCTAGTTTCGCATACTGCCATTTCAGTTCTTTCTGGTGTTTGCCTTTCATCCCAGTGACTCTGGATTATCTTAGATTGTATTGCAAAAGTCCAGGAGCAAGAAGTGGAGGAAAGACAACTTCAGACAGTAGAAAGACCGGGCTTCCAGTCCTTACAAAGGAGGTACCGTTACAAACGCAGGGGGACAGTCACTGTTTCTCAAAGTATCATCCTCTGAGACAATACCGAAATCTTTGTCCTGCCTAAGAAGTCAGAGTATTCAGGGGCCCCGCTGATTCCAGCGCTCTTTTATATTGGCACTCCCTGGAGAGGTTTCCTAGCCTTAATGGCAAGTCTTCCGACCTGGACAGAAGACAAAGGGGCTTCTTAGCCCTGGCCTCTTCCTCCCTAACCCGCAGTCCCTGCGCAAGGCGCAGTCACGCCTTCGGGAAGCTCCATGCAACCTGCAAGGGACCCGGGATCAACGCGGAACTGGCTGAGATCGAGACACGCCTCGGCAGCTCCGAGCCTGGCCTCCCACTCGAGAGAGGCCTTGGCTGGTCCTCACCTGGGCGTCGCCCCTGCCACTCGGCCCATAGCAGCGTCAGGTCGCCGTCAGCCCGCAGGAAGCGCAGCAGCTGCACAACGAGCAGGGGCAGCGCACACAGCGCCAGCACCCAGAGCAGCAGCTCCCAGCTCATCGCGGCCGCTCACGCCCAGCTCCTCTGGAAGGAGACAGCCAGCCCCAGAGTCGCGTCGCAGCCCTGCGGGGTAGCAGCACCGCCCCTCCGGCCCGCCCAGCGCAGCACCGCCCCGGCTCCGCCCAGAGAGCAAGCCAGGAAGAGGAGCCGCTGGGACGCGAGGGGCTCAGCACCCGCGGCCCTGCTAGTCGCCCTACACGGCCCCAGCCCTCGTGCGCCACATCCTGCAGAGAGACTGCTTGAATTCAGGTGTTCGAGACCAGCCTGGGCAACATGGTGAAACCCCATCTCTACCAAAAATAAATAAAATTACAATATTTTTTAAAAATCTGATTCAAACATAAGCTACATATTATACTACATTATTTCCTCTCTAAACAGGGAAACTATCAGTGGCCAGGTGACAAGGAGAAGAGGTGCTTAGCCCCTCTTCTCCATTCCCATTCAGAAAGAGCATCCTCTTCTAAAGTTTCAGTATTTTTCATGAGGTCGAAAAAGTGAAAGAGTGTGGCTATCACTCAAGAACCCACAAGCCAAGACAGTGGTCCCTCCATGGGGACAAGGTCCTTTTACAACTAGAGAAAAAAGACTGAAGCCATGTGCTCTGGTGGCACCTTACAACCTGATTCCACCACGCACAAATTTACTCTCAGCTGAAGTGTCTGTTTGGCAATCAAAGCCTAGCTTGCTGTCAAATCCTTGCCTTACCCAAGCCATAAGTCACATCCTTATAAAAACAGAGAACGTAATGAAAATACCAAAGTCTTGCATACTCTAATACACAAAATAGTAAAATACTGTTCTTGATTAATTTCCTTTTGAAATGAGCTTCAAAACAATTACTTCCCACTAAATACCTACATGTGTTTGAGGCATTAACAGTAGCATCTTTCTTGTTTTCAAGCACTTGAAAGCAAGAGGGATTTCTATTCACAAGCCTCAGAGGGACCCAGTTAGTGTGCATAGAAACTAGGCCATGGATGAGAACGACCTGTGGCCAAATGGAGAAAGCTGTGGGCGTTGATGCAGTAGAACTTTCATCCTCTTTATTTCCTAAAATACCTTGCATGCTCTGATATCAAAGGATGTTCCTTGGCTGAAATTAAATGTTACTTTAAAACAGTTATGGTAATGAAATATTCCTTCCCCAATATTTTCTTTTTCCAGTCTTGCCTACTAAACTTTTCTTTTTCTTCAAATGTTTTAAAGAATGTTACTTGCAGTAATCAAATTTCCTTAAACAGCTCTTCCTTCTCTCTATTATAAACCTACCTGCCTCCCCACCCTCATCCTTCTCTAAAAAGCTTTTTTGGGTTATCTGGACTTACAGTCATCTCTTCCCTAATCTCACCTCTTTTTGCAATTACTTCTGAACTATGTCTGAAATTGTTTTCTAATTATTTTTGGGGTTAATATATTATAGAATCCTTGAAATAAAGTAGCAAATCTGATGCTTCTTTTGAAGAGTCTGCAACACATAGCTTAGTGTTGACATAAGAAACTATAGACCCACATTGATTGAATTCGCCTTTCCTTGAAAGTTAAACCTTGGTAGAGAACAGAAGGATGGTTACCAGAGGCTGGGAAGAGTAGTGGGAGGGTTGAGGGGACATGAAGATGGTTAATGGTTACAAAAAACAGAAAGAATAAATATTACTTATTATTTGATAGTGCAATGGGGTACCTATAGTCAATAATTTAGTTGTATGTTTTAAAATAACTAGAAGAGTATAATTGGATTGTTTGTAACACAAAGGATAAATGCTTGAGGGGATGAATACCCCATTTACCATGATGCGGTTATTACACATTGCATGCATGTATCGAAGTATCCCATGTACTCCATAAATATATATACCTACTAGGTACCCACAAAAATTAAAAATTAAAATTCAATTTTTTAAAACTTCCTTGAAGTTCCCAAGTTAATGTTAAAATGAGAGTTGCTAGCATTTAATAAATTGATCTTCTCTGAGTATCATTAAAATGCTTTGAATAAAGTCCCAACCAAGGGGTCCCCAAGTCTTTTCTATAACTGGTAGCCTTCATTTTTAATTCCAGATGTAATAGAATGGTACCCTGCCTTCTCTCCTTTTAATAATAGTCACTTTTGGTGGTCTGGGAGTCAGGCCCAATCATGGCAGGTCAGCTAAGATGAAGGCAGTTGTGTGTAAGCAATTGCCACCTTCCATAACAAAAGCATCATACAAAAATGACTTAAAAATCCAGATCCTCCAAGATTGGCAGTCCCGGGGGGTGAAGGGGGAAGGCACTATAAGTGGAAACAGGGACTGAGGAAGTCTAGGGAGGGAGTAGTTTTCCTCAAGAACAAGAAAGGGTTTGTGGTTTTTGATTGAGGGTGTTTTCACAACCCTTAGATGCTCTTAGAAATGTTTTGGATGCTCAGCTGCCATAGTGCCAGCTACCCAGGGTGCCATCAGAGTGCTAAAGATCTGGGCAGTATGTAAAGATATACCCAACAAAGAATTGCCCTGCCCCAAAAGCCCACAGCACTCTTACTCAGAAATCCTGCAACCTGGCCACAGTGGAGAGGGGCTCTCAATCTATTAGCTGCCTCCCTCCACATGCTCCAGCTTACACCTGCCTGGCCATACACCAGGTACAAGCATTCAGGGCACTGTTTAGTTTTCTGATATTCTTCAGGCAGACAAGGTCTTACCTAGAGTCTTATTTATAAGAAAATACAAGTTATTTTCTTATCTTTAGTAATCTCATGGGATCCCTCAATAGAAATATCTCACTCCACCGTTCACCATATGCAGTTCCCCATATCAGTGCATCGATTGTTTCTTTAGATTAGCCAGTTTCCACATTGAGTCTCTTAAACATGAACAGTTTATGGTTCTCACTCTCTCTCCCTTAAATGGCCTGTTTCAAACTTCCCTTTACATATCTTGGTACATGATTTAGTAGTGGTGGTTGTTATTCAAATCTAGAACTTCAAACACTCATACACACACAAGTACATGCAAAGCTGTTGAAATATGAATGAGGTCTGTAGATTTTGCCAATACCAACTCCCTGGTTCTGTTATTGTTCTAAAATTATGTAAAGTTTACTAGTGGGAGGAATAGGGTGCAGGGTACACCTGATTTTCTGTGCCATCTTTGCAACTTCCTGTGAATCTATGAAAAGTTTAAAAAATTAGGTTAAACTTCTTAAAATATGCAAATATTTTCTTAAAATTCTAAAACTGCTCGGTGTTTTTTCCTCTCCTTTTTTCTCCCCTCTCCAGCCGGGACCAGCCTTGGGGATAAGCAGAGTTAACAGAAATTTATGCTCTCAGATTTAAGAAAAACAAGATTCTTTCTTGCTTCTTAAATCATACTCCATCCCATCTGCTTGTAAATGTGCTGACACTCCTCATAATTTAACCTTTTATAAACCAAAGCATAATGTCAGAGGAGAACTTGACATATTAGAAAACTTAGTTAGTCTAACTAACCCACTGAAGTGTTGAAGAATCTGGGACTCAAATTTTGGAAGATGTGACAGATGATATGTTAAAATACATTGCACTGAGGCTACAGTGCAAGGATCGTTTGAGCCTGGAAGGCAGAGGTTGCAATGAGCCAAGACTGCACCACTGCACTCCAGCCTGGGCAA